CAAAACGGGGTTCAAAACTGCCTGGAAGAATCAAATCCAACAATAAGTTTCCAGTGGATAGTCAACAGCCAAGCAGTCACTGTTGCGCGTATTCTGATTTATATTCTTGCGATGATTTCAAAAGAGCTAGCCATCTATTTGTTCGACTTCATCCAAGTTGCTTGCATATTCGTACTGAAGTTCTTGTTTCGATCGGTGTCACCGTTGCATTTCATTTTGGACAGAAACTGCGGTAGCCCCTAAAATTGAAGGTTTGTAACTGAATTTTGTGCAGATATTTTGAAATGAAAAACAGTTTTAACAGGGTTCACTTACTGCTTGATATACATTCGTTGTTTGGCAGCCGAGTGTTTTGGATTTTTTTGGGTTCGCTTCGGGTCTGAGAACTCTGGAAATTCGTACCTTCGTTACCGGCTACTCAATGTGTTTGCCGTAAGCTTTTCCGCAGGGCAACCATGAGCTGAGCCAAGTAAAGATGTCAGCAACGATAAGACAACTCCATACTTTCGGCAGTCCAGGATCACACGATAACGGCGTGGAGCACTAGGGATATGCCTCGATCAAAACAAGGACAAATGATTGGTACCAAGTCAAATAGGGAGAGAAAGCAATCGAATAATATCGCGCCTGTCAGCAGTGAAGGATAATGCCTATAAAGAGGGCTAAAATGTTCAAACAAACATCGATACTAACAAACGGTGTTCAGGATGGGTTTTCAAATCATTTGTTCTGTCACAACTACCTCACATGCTGGTGGTCCGAGACTCGATTTTGGATAGTTCAGCATCATTCATAAGTAGACGTCCCGACAGTTTTATTCCCAGACCTCAGCAGTGAAGGTACTCACACGCTTGCCTATGATGAAATATGAAGTTCATCCCAAGCCCTGACATTTTGCATCTCTATAGGTAATCTGAGCTACGGTCATCGCCTAGGGATCTAATTATGAAGTAGCTTTGTACTCCTTCTATTTCTAGTTTGTCGTCTCTTCGGCAGTCATTTGCAATAGACGGACGGTGTACTACGACTAGAAGAATTCACAAGTTGTAGAGTAAGACTTTCACGAAGTGCCATAAACGTTACAGGTTTCAAGTCACTGGCATATTCTAACCGCGGTCTAAGGGCAGAAATACGTTTCGGATGCTGCTTTCAACACATATCAGGTATCGTATCGAAATTGTAGCTGCGGATACAGATCCCTCCTCGTTTCACAATGTCCGACTTCAGGAGGACCTCTATGCCCCCGAAAAAACCTTACCTGGTTCATTTCGAATGGCAATCATGACGTCAGCTTGGTTGTGGCGACGAAATATTTGAAAGACCCAAAATGCCGTCACACAGGGAAGTTTCATCCATGGCACGGCAATTTCAAATGCTGTTATTATAAATTTCAAACAAAAGGCTATTTAGAACGTCCGCCTCCACAAATCCACTCGTGATATTAACGGAAGCAAATAGAACCAAGTTTACCTGTTATTAGGGTATGACCAGCTAAAAGCGATTTTGACCAGCGTATCGCAAGATTCGGAATGCCTACTGCGCACAGCTTCATGAAGAGTATAATGTCTACAACCACGCCAAGTCCTCCAATGTATCGAGGGACGTAAAAATTCTACATTGAACCCTGGCCGACATTTTCGAGCAATGAGACTAGAGGAAATAAAACGACATGCAACCCGTGACCCACTTTTGGGAAAATAATGCTGAAAACTTTCCGTAAGTGAGTATCCAGACATGTTGAGTTTGACAAGTTTTTACACAAAAAAACCATTGTGTGTCTTTAGTTGTAGTCATCGGCCCTGTTCCCAGATTTCCTCCGTGGAACTGCGAATACATCTTCCCACTCATTAGGACATGTGACGGTCTACATCGATGCGGTGGATAGCTCAGGTGGGCTCAAAGGAACTCCCTATCTACTCTTTCTCAGAGCTGTTAAAGCGATATAAATTTATCAATGGCCAAACTGTATGAACACGTCTTGTGTGTGAACAAAGTTAGATAAAACTCTTCATGAAAGCGAACCATTTCTGAAGTAACCCTCGGAATTTATGAGTTAGCACTGTAACTTTAGGGTGGTAAAAACAATCTTAATTTTGTAGCGAAGATTAGATTGTAGGGAATGCGCTGGTTGTTTTACCATTCCCTACCGTTTGACCAACAATACGTAACTTGATGTGCTCTAGTACCTGCCTGACCAGCACCTCACCTAACGCTTAAGTACTGGTAACGAAACAAATCAAGAGAACCGGTTTCAGGAATATATTCGAAAAGTTATGTATTTAATTAGAACAAACATGATAGTACTTAATAGGAGAGACGTTATTTCGACTTATCTGGCCATTGTGACTGAACTGAGGGGTCTGGGTACGTGCGTGCCAACCAGCACAAACGGATAGCAAAATGGTGCCGGAGCCTGGCTGGATACATGCTCGTTAAAGCGAAACTTAAAATGCCTACAGCATCCGGAGGCAAGCTAGAGGTTTAGTTAGTCAATTTAATTTATTTGATTTATTTTGGCCCTGGTTGCATTTTGGTGTTAGGAGGGTGCGCTACAGGATAAATCTTTACAATATCTCCTGTTTTTTCCTCGAAAGCTGAACTGCGAACAGTCGGTTTGGGTCAGAATATCAAGTAAGTTTCGTAGCCACTTAATTTAGCTAACATATGGACATCGTAGCTGATGCACTTCCATTCAGAACTTTGTCCTTCTTTATTAAGTTTGGCCTGTCGCTCGACTTTGTTCTTCGGATCTGAATGATCAGTTATCCGTTAGCACTAGCCCGTGGTTGCCGTAACTGCCAGCATATATCATGTTATCAGCACATCACTAGGAACGAACGGGATTTAAGGTCACGGATCTACCACCCACTTCACGTTCAAGGGTATTTGATGGTTCGAAAAATGGCTGCGTAATTCCTAATTTCTAACCGAATCTGCTCGAACCTTCCGAATGGTGGTGCTGGTCTCCAGCCTTTTTGCCCTCTTTTGTCTGCCGGACAATAACGTTCTGTTTTCTAAGTCGTCTTCTACGTCAGGCAACAGTGATTCCTAGTGCATCGCGTGTTACCGATCGTGACCCGGAATTCAGATTACCAAAGTGATAATACCTGATGATTGGTTAGCTTTCATGTGATCTATGTCGTATGAGAAACACGTATATGTTGTCACTTTTATTGTTATTGTTATCATTATAGAACCTACTTATAAAGATGATGAATACACTAAACAGCTACAGCGAAAAAGCCACCACGCAGAAGCCCAACACGTATGTTCAAGATTAACGCGGTCAGGCAAGTCCGAGTGCTGCATAAGCGACTCAAACTCATGAGCGAAAACATCTCAATAGATGGGAAGAACAATTAAGATCGCGCTCAAAGCACTGAGTTTGGTTGCCAGTTCAATCACTTATTTGTCACTGACGTCAATCGCGATGCATTGGTGTCACATAACAAAATGCTGTCCACGGGCTCTGAACACAGGGTTGTTATGAGTGGCCAAAACGGCAGAAAAGGTAAAACCTACACCAGACTGATACGTCTTAACCAGTCTATCATATTTTAGTGCTAGAGTTGAAGAATCCAGACATTTAGCCAGCAGTTATAACATGCATCAAGATAATCAATATCCGATGTGTGCTGTTACGAGGTTGTATGAAATCCATCGCCCTGTACTCATTAAAGAAAAGAGGCGGAGAATGTGCACATGTATGTTCAGTAACGTTTCATCCTTAATAATGGGCGAAACATAACAAACGTAACGAAGAAAGTCAAGCTTCACTTTTTTCCGGGCAGTACATTTGTTGATTAAGTGTCACCTGCTTTCTGTTCATGTAGAGACGATGCCACTATGAATTCACCACGTCCTTCTACGCACATTTATTCTGCTGACACCGTCTATTTAAAAAACTCTCATTATTGTCAGGGTTATATAGATTCAGAAACCCCTTAAAATTACGGCTGACTTCATTTTCAGAGGGCAACTCCCCGGTGTAAAAACTTAGTGGGAGCTGTTATTTTTCTCAGGATTTGGTCAGGGTCCTGGCAACCATAACATTGTGCTAAGGCTGTTGTTTTCCTGGCTGTCAGTCCTCAATCTGCAACAACTTCATATCATCTGTGTTACCACATCAAACAGATTAAAGGTTTTATAGGAATGTTATGCGAACGCTTGGCACAGGTATCCTGGTACTTTACGAAGGGTTAAAAGGCGCCACCAGCTTTGCCTGGTAACATAAGACGACATGGACAGCTAATCTGATGTTAGAGGATGAAGAAAGTTATCCTAATCAAAGTATGATTTAGTGTCACGTACCCAAAGTGGCGGTAGGCAGCGAAAACAGTCTTTACAGCTGATACCAGGTACCTTATAGCCAGTGTTTTTTCCTGAAAAACCACGATTAAGTGCACGTGAAATGAGCGCCAACATTTTGTCTGATAAAAACCAATAAGTGCTTGTCCGTCAAACCATCAGTTCTTAAAATGGCTTCTATCTGTCCAATGGACTTACTTTCCTGAAAATCACAGAAGCCATCTTCCATTTCAGTATCCTTGTACATGCATTACAAAATTCTTGTGGGTCTGAAATACAAAACAAAGTTGGCTAATCATAAAACGTCAAGGGTCGAAAATGGCAAAATACATCATGCTGAACGTCGGAGGTACCCCATGAGTTCAGCAATTTATCTCTTGTAGACGCTTCTTCATTTTCAGTTCCCACTTTTTCAGATTACTCACAACATCTATGGTCTGGACGTCTATAATCTTATAATATACTGAATATTTATTCGAAATCATTATGTAAAAATGGTGTATGGATAGAAGCCCAAGAACCATTAAGAACAGCTTTTTTACAAGACAGGACACCTTTTTCGTACAGCTGTGAGGGTAAATTTCGTGGTAATACTACGTCACACATCGTACGGTGCTTAACCATGTATGTTTGTTTAAAATATTTGGTGCTAGGAAACGTGTAAGCAGATATATGGATATTTGCGTAACAACATGAGTGAAGAAAATCTTGTTTGTCTGCTGCAAAGACCATCTGAAAGCCGATCGCAAGCTGTTTCTTACCAGTTGTCTAAGATTTTCAAACATCTCTATCAATTTTCAAGTCTAGATGATGACATGGTCTCCTATTTACAGGCTGCAAAAGAGAGCGAAGATGAAAAACATTGTTCCTACATAAAAGAAGTCAATGAGGCAAGAGTTTCTCATTTTATCAAATTGCCTTAGGTTCTTGAAAAGCATAGAGACACTATTAATGCGGTGATGCTGCAGAATGTCGCATTAGACAGTACAGTTGTGATATAGGATTGAGTCAGAGATCAGAAAATGAAAGGTCGATGGAATCAGGATCGTCTCTTGTTTTGAATTATTATGAAATGGATGGTTTGATTCTCATGTCATAATTAACTAAAGACTCTTTTTTGAGAGATTTCGGGCTTTTGACGAAGGAGGATATTTACTTCAATGGAAAGCCTCGAATTCCTGGTAAGACATTGTTTCATAGCTCGAAATCTTTGCAAAGTTTCATGCAATCAACCTTTGATTTTTGGTGATGGGGTTTATCAACTATATCTTGCCGCTTTACGGTTTGATGAGTTGTGCGTGTCTGAGTTTGAGAAAGTGTTTGCATTTCCATTTAAGTCAAATACACGTTATGGAACCTAATACTACTCATGATTCATAAATACATGCAAGCCATTTCCGGGCACACACGTAAGGTTTACATGCGGACAATACCTCATCATACTGGTTAAAACAATTCGGTAACAGCAGGGTACACGTCATAACATTTGCACGTCTGTTTACATATTTATACAATTTCATTTCCTAAACATGGGACTTTTAAGTTGAGCTGTAATCACCTAGCAGTATGTTTATTCTGAATTGGATGTGAAGAATATGAGAGCTCCTTGGGCACACAGTACTGGTAATTTGCATCTTTATACTGTAAGAGGTAACCTATAGTTTTGTGATTATTATCGTTTATTATTGTGTTCCTGTTCAAATGCATCAGCTTCACGAATTTACTGCTGCTACTTCACGTTTCAGATAGGGTGTGATCTGCAGTATTTACACTTCTGAAAACTTGTCAAAGTCATAGATGTGAAGAACTCTGCGAAGACGTCAACAAATAAGGAACTTTAAGAAGCAGCTCACTAACAAGATATTGTGGTCTTCAAAAGCAATACGAAATATGTGGCTAAGTTCTCTTCTAGTTCATATGCTCGCGAATGGTCTTCTACAAAATTTCTCATGTGGGAAGCCCCCAAGTAACTAAATCTTTTTTAGAAATCTCAAGGGACTAGATCCCTAATAACTTTTGGTCCCATTCCCATCGGCTTTCAAAAACGCGGTTTCGTCTTTTCCCAACTAAGTAAGATGTTGTGACAAGGTTTTAACTTCAACAAAACTTTTCTGAGCATCTCTACCTTGTTATATATCACCTATATTTTTGACTAACAACAGAACAATTGGGATTTATATCTGCCTGAAGCCTGATGCATATATTTCTTAGTGACTACACGGTATATAGCCTCTAAGCACTCAAAGTAAATTATAGCGTCCCACTGAATTTTCTGAATTGATTTTAAAACCACCCCTTGTGTCGAGATGAGAATGGAAAAAACTAAACAAATCTTTCAGTCCTTTGTATTAGGAAAACGTTTGCATGGTATTCATTCCAGCCACATTCTAAGGAGATCGAATAAATAGCTTTGCCTCTATTCTTCCCATCATGAACCTGTTCATTTTTTATTTCAAATCTCAAATTTGCATTGAAGCTTTGTTTTTCTACCTCAGTAAAGCGTCTTGGCACTGTAAAATGTTGTAATGCCTTTTGGCTTTTGACTGTTGCAACTGTAAATGCATATCTCTTATTATTATGGTGTTACCAAGATTTTCATTATTACTTGATGTTGTTTATGAAACCATCTAGTCAGTTTCACTTTTGAAAGCTAGTTGTGACTTGATTTGCTAAGTTAAGTTGAAAGTCTTGATGTGCTGCAGTGTTGAAACTGGCTGGCTTCTGTCTGTACATATCACTTGTATGTTTAGAAGCTGGTTGCAGAACTGACCGGTGTACGGCATTGACATGAACATATGAAGTCGTGTAAATTAAAGTTAAGTGTGAAGAAAGTCCATATGAGTGAAACATTAGTTGTATTCATATCCCAATATTAGCGACTGATACATCCCCAGGTTTACTACATAAATTATGTAAGACAGCGTTGGAATACTTATCACTGGCTCATATGAGTGGTTGACATATCACAACTACAAGCAAGTGAGTAATAAAGTAAGTTAGAGTATCACTATTCGGTGTTACCAGCCCTAGGAAACTCATTTCTAATTAGAAGTAATCTCAGTAGTATTACTTACTCTCTATGCAAAAACCTTCATTTCCATTCTTATTCATACCAACTGACTTGAAAAAAGTAGGTTATTATCAAGACACCTGCAAAGCGATTAATAGTTTGTAAATGTCCCTGAAACAATTTTATCTGCAATAAACTCTACAGGTTTCCCTACGGCTCAAAATCCTCCTAAAGCTGAAGAAAATGATTACACATTGAAACCCCTACTAATGTCAAAATCTTCAGTAAATAACAAACACAAAAGTAACCATCCGATGAAAAATAACTTCAAGAACGACTTGAATTATGATAAAGTAAGTCCTAGGCTTCTGGTTATAAGGTAGGTTGAACTCGTTTCAAATGTCAGTGGACATTCTAATATATTAGTTGTGCTTTCATTTTTTAGGGCATTTTTGTGCGTTGAAGTTAACTTGAAGATGAAGTTTTCAGAAATAGAAAGCATTGGACTTACCTGTTTTTCCACTGTTATCCAGTCATAACTATACACTAGATTGAACTGGCTATTGTTGAATTTTGTGGTGAGAAAAGTTTGCTTTAGGCGTATAGCCTGGATCAAAACCGTGAGCTGCTCTCAAATCAGTTAATTTCCCACCAACTACCGAAAACAGATGTTCTTTGTTTTATTCAGTGGGTAGAAAATAAAAGGTGTGATAAACCATCTAATATTCTGATGTTAGATATCAGTAACTTTGTTTCAAACTAACTATCGAAAAAATGTTTACACAACTGGGTTTTACTAAGTCACCGAGTGATAGAAGGCAGCGAGAACAACAGCATAAGATTTCGTTTACCGACATGCTATATTTACAGAGAAATGTGTTCATTTATAGCTTGATTCAGTGAATGCCTACTTTTTTATTAGGAAGCAAAATACAATTTATCAAGACTAGGATGAAGCTATGCTCCCACACTTTCCTATGACTGAGTCCTTGAAATCGGTGAGAGGATTCAGCTAAGTGAATAATTCTTTCAGTGATGATGAGTGCTGAACCAATGAGGATACCTTTCTCACAGTAAAGCTTTTGTAAGCATATATCTAGATCACAAAACTCTTAAGTAGCTGAAATAATCTTCTAGATAAAAATGTTGAGAAAAACAGCTTTGTGGTGTACACATATTTACTTTGGCTTTGTAAAACTAGGACTTGCTTCATTTCTTTGCCATGATATACCACTTGTGAGAATTCATAGTTATCATATCCTGCCACAAGTTGCCTTAAAACTTCACATCAAAACCCTTTGTTTCAAACAGTAATGTGCTAATTCGTAATAACTTCTGAATAAAATCAAAGAGTATATCGTGTAGGTTGTAACAAGTACATAAAGGCTTTCTGCAAAGCACATCATCAGTGTACGTGTTTTTGTTGACTTGTTCAGGTGGAAAAGTGCCTAATATTTTTAAATTTTGGCAAAAATCTTACTCATTAAAAGGTTTTACAGTGCTGGAATTCTTCATCCTGATGTAGTGTTAGTAGGTTTTTATAAAACATCAGAAAAGTTTGTTTGTATACTTTGAATAAGCCCCACGTTTATAATAAAATCTTTTTATTTTGATTCTCAGACAGTAGTCTTCATATTTTACTTTGTTCTAAATTTAAGGGTAAGACAAAAAATAACATTCGTCACTGCGATAACAAGTCAGTCACACAGCCAGCCAGTATCAACGTATGGTCTGAGATTGCTGCCAAACGGTCCAGGTTGTCACACCTCGTATAAGTAAATCAGACGAGAACGGATCGAGATGAAAGACAAAAAAATAATGAGGAAAGCAGCCAAAATTGGTAGAAAGTCATCGAAGTAGAGTAAGGAGAAATGAGACAATACCTAAATTCATCATGGCGATTAAGATGAAAATAATATATATTTATCTTCACCGCCGAGATCGACTCTGAGTTATGTTATCCACAGCTTACAAACACAGGTTTCAAGTGCCATGCAGACCCCAACCAGGAAGTCTACACTTCTCTACAGGGCCCAGACCAGTGATAAAAGACTTCATGGACTGATAACGCGTTTCAACTGGCCGCTTATAGCCCTTTTTCAACATGGACTTACTTCAGCTAACATTGTGTGACGAGGCAGACGATGATTAGATAGGCGCAACACAGGCCCTAGTCAGCTGAGTTTATGATGGTTCATGACCTTATCAAATAACTTTTCTCTTCTCTCTGAAAGCATACCTCTGATTTTTACGGTAATAACTTGATAGCTAAATGATACACGGCCTATGTTACGAAGGCGACGGTGAATGAATGCTTTAAGACTTTTTATGTCTCCTTCCTTTCATGATCACTTTCGGAGAGCAAACTGCAGCGTAATACACTCACCCCTAATAGACATCGGGATACCAAGGGGACTCCATAAATAGCTTGGGCTGGTGAAAGCCAAGCCAGTCTTTCGTATCCGTGCAGGGACTTCACCGGTCACTGACCCACCAGAGCTGTTACAACTTCGCAGATAAGTGAAGTGATTGACGTGCTTAACCGTTTCACTTTTTATTGTCAGACATGGTGCCACTAAAGACTAGCCCTGGAGCAACTATTTGTATTTGGATGGCTAAAAAGGGATCGTGAACATTCTCAAGTTGCCACTCAATGTATGTAGAGTAATCCGCACCCTGTAATTGTCTTAACCTAACATGACTATGTTGTCTGCGTACTCTGGATCTATCAAGGATTCTCCTATGACAAGATCATCTCGTTTTAAGTGAGGTGATGAGAGTAAGACCCCCATATATAAATCTGTGATAAGAATAAGTAAGATTCGAGAGTGTCAACACCCTTAATGGACACCACTGGACGTTCATAATCCACCTGATAACTTACGATAAGCTCCAACATTGACTGAAGTTGTTCGAGTACAGATCCTTTAACAAAGTAATGTACTTACCCAGTATACCTTTAAGTAAGAGACTATCGTAAAAGCTATCCATCGGTAGAGTCGGATAACGTTCTCAGCTTGAAAAGTACAGCTGGAGTCGGGTGTTGGTTGGTGTGGTTGTGCTGTAGGACCTAGCACAGGATGGACATCTTGATGATGCACTCACCGTCAGATTTGAAGCCTGCTTGACCTTCTCGGGATTGCTGTTCCAGATCCCTATTACACGTCTAGTGGTTGTAAAACCCATAGTCTTAAACACTGTGTTTGTCAGGTCGGTTCTAATTTGGTTGTCGCAATAAGTTTTCCTCTTCTCGAAGACTGGGGCAGTCAACCATTGCGATAAGTCAGAGGGGATCATATCTGACTCCTATACTCTAGCAAACACTTAAATTGACCCAACTAATAATCCGTGTCCACCGTCTTTAAGTACCTCTGGTACTGGCCCACTTATTCCTACTTCCCGCTCTCATTTCGGGTTATTTACAGACTTTTTAGCTTCTGAAAGCGTTGAAGGCTCTATCTAAACATTACTTTCATAATCCGACTGGATGCAGGGCGACGAAATAGTAGATGGCGGCTAGTTAAACTATCCATCGTAGTGTTTTACCCATCGTTCTAGTCATCTGTCATGCAAGTAAATCTTAAACCCATCGTACTGTGCTATGGTCTCATTAGCCAATGACTTTTCAGCTCGAGATTCTCTGATAAGTCTAAACAATTGTCTACTTTTACTTTTGGCTGTGACCTTATCCATCTTTTCAGCCTTCACTACTCACTACTTCTCTTCACTCTAAGTACCAGCTGCTTTTGCTCCTCATTGTGCTCGAAGCTGACAGGAATTCATAGAAATACACCCATTAATTCAGAAGAAGCTGCTGAAATGCATTAGCACTTTATTACCTATTTCTATCGGTCATTTAAGGCCTATAGTGATATTTCTATTTCTAGCTGACGTTTTTCTATGCCCATTAAGACGCAAATGTAGGTGTGTCCCAAACAAAATGTAATCACATACCAAGCACGTACTCCAGAATGAGTAGCAATCATCAACCGACTCTGTCCTGGGATAACTGGTGGCAGCATAATCTATCCAGATCCAATATTGAGATGTCGTTAGTGGACGCCATACCAGACGACATCTCTCTCATTATGTTTGAAATTCGTGCGAGCCAGAGAAAGATGGTTGTTTGAGGGCAGTTGTAGTAGGCAATCGCCGTTATCCGTTCGTTCAGGTGAGATTTTAAAAGTGCCACCTATTTGCCTTTCTGCCTGAATCAACCTACTCACTTGGAATTAGCTGCAACAACAATGACGTCTGTACGTTTGGTTCACAGTAGTAGTCTAAGCAATTTAAGGTATAACTCATGCTTCACTTCTTCCAAAATGCAGTTAGTGTGTGTGTAAGAGGAGATTACAACAGACAGCGGCCCCTTTATTATTACTTTCTTTGATTCTCATTGCGTCGTTTGATTGAACGGCCCATAGGTGGATGTCAACTGGGATTCAGTCCAGTAGAGCACTTACTGCTGTAGCACTTAATTTTATGCCTGCATCTGCAAGACCGCAAGAATTAGTTATTTAATCCTCAGGAGGTCGAAAGGTGAATATGGTAGACACCGTATTTATCTGATAAAGACGAAAAAAGATATTTGATCGCAAAATCTGAAACACTGTCTTACCCGTTATCACATCTCATAACAGTATAGCAGTAAAACCACAGAAACAAATACGGGAAATAGGTGAATAAGACATTGGATTCTTTTCCTATTTGTTTTTATTGTTAAATTCGTTTTCTTTATCTTATCTCATAGTCATTTTCGTTAGCTGCGTGGATTTGAAATGTAAAAAATTGAACTAAAACACAATGAAACCAGCTCCTATGCTGTCAGTCTCCGTCTGTGTGACTGACGTCTCATGTGGGGTTTAAAAAAGCAACCTTCTTACAATAATGAACAGAGGAGCAAATAAAGGAACCATGGTGATTCTGTCATTGTCGTTTGCGTATAAGTGGGTTATTGTGGTTAACATCTATGTTTCTATGGTTGTAAAAGCGTTATGAGAACAAACCTCTTGATCAAATCTGAAGTGGTTGTTTATACACCACAGATATGTATCAACATCAATTTACCAAGAGCTTATGTACGGTCGCCAGTGTTTTATTGTGATATCACCACAGTTATGCATAAACCTATCATCAAAGCACATATGGAGAACATTTTAAAAATAAATTTGTTGTCTTGTTTTATTCCATTCCATAGGATGATAACTCGTTGTCTATCATATGGAATAATTATATCTGAACTCAAATGAGTTTTGTCTAGTTTTAGTTAGATTTCGCTGCACGCAAAGGCGCTGAAAAAATTGAACCCAAAATAAAATAAGTTACATAGAGACAGCATTCGACAGTTTAGTTCGTTTCAATGAACTATGTTCTAAACTCAAGCTCTAACAAACAAAACAAGCGATATTGATTAATCTAGTAGGTTCACACTGTTATATCTCCAAAAAGTAAACGTCACTAGCCTACAATTTTCATTCACTAAGCTTCTAGATAAAGCCTGCATTCTCAAATTTTACCTTACTACTGGATTCAGACTGTTGTGATGAGTTGGGTCACTTCTATGCATAGCTACAATATACTTGTTTTTAAGAAGTGAACGATGTTTGCCACTGCTTATCATGCAGATTCCCTCTAGTCTTGACTTCTAGTTTTAGAATCAAGTTCATAAACGGCAATTAGATTATGCTTTGTCATCTTTACTAATCTAAATACTTTAAAATGATAATTTGTAGCAACGATAGTGCATAACTTGCTTCATTAACTAACTAAAGGAATTGTATATCGTCATTCACATTTTGAAAATGATCCATTGGAATGATTGGGAATGGACATTTTTGCACCCTTTGTTTCGTACATTTAGCATTCTAGGTATTACTTTTTCTTCAACCAAAATGGTGGAGTGTATAACCTACTCACCTGAATAGTTTAACCTTTTGAGCGACAGACTTCCATATTCAGAGTATCTTATTAGTATATGTTTCTTTCTCATCATAGAAAACAGTAGTTGACTTCTTATGCTTAACTGTAAGTATAAGTCTAACAGAATTGATTCATCAAAGTAAGACTATCAACACTTAGGCACTACATATATAAATCTGTCACTTATTCACGTAGAAGTCTTTAAATCTTTTTCTTTTCCTAATTATAAAACCAGTTTACGCCAAAACAGACATTTTTGTTATTTGCAGGTGTCACTAGTTTCCTATTCAACATTCTCTGCAAGATCAACTGCCTCAATTAAAAAAAGGATGAATAATAACAAAACTTCATTTTTAGCGGAACCAGAGTCAATTCTTTTTAATTTTTATCAACCAGGGAGTGTTTATGAAGTAAAGTTGTATACTACTTCGGATTACTTGAATTCTCTATAGGCTTTTATTAAGATACGTAATGTTTCTCAGACTGCGCGATCTATTCGCGTTTTGCCGCCAAAAACAACTTACTTTTCAGTCAATGAAGGTAAGTCAGTGAAACATCATGGTGAGTTCAAACACACTATTTCAGTCATGAATTCTTTGTTTCAGATAACTGAACTGCTTTTTTTCATAAATGCATAAATCAATAAATCAACAATCAATGTCTGTGTTAGGACATGAATCATAAATCAAAGTTATTTCTCAAAATTTGAATATCGAATTTGTTTCTCTGCTCTGATTCTTGCCTGGTTAACTAGTTCACTAGTTACTAGCTGATCCTAAGCCCCCATAAAGAGGGAACGTTGGGCATAGGGCTAGCAACCCTAACCAGTAAAACCAATACAACCACTACAGAAACTTCAAAGCACAGACAAAATATAAAAAATAAAAACAAACTTATTCCTCACTGGATTCGGAGAGGTGAAATGACGCCAGTTGGTGAAAGCCTTCAGGAAACCAATCGGCCGATGTGTCTTCTCTCTCTCGATGAAAGCGAAAGTAAACATGGGGAGATGGAATGTCCGCACTATGTTTGAACCTAGCAGGGCTGCCCAGATTGCAAACGAGATGAGAAGGTATAGCACTGAAGTGCTAGGATTCTGTGAAAGCAGGTGGAATGGAAGTGGACTCTACAAACTGTCAACTAGAGAGTCAGTAATCTACTCCAATATTGTGACCCAGATGACAACTACGAGCACACTGAGTTTTGGAGTGGCTGTCATGATGTTTCCGAGAGCATCGAAGGCTCTCTCTCATACAGTGGAAACCAATCTCCTCCAGCATCAGGATCATGACAGCAAGGTTCAACTCGAAAGGAAGGAAAGTCACAGGCATACAATGCTACGCTATGCATCTACAAATAATGCAGATGAAGAGAAGAAGGGGGAATTCTACAGACAACTGCAATCAACACTGGACAAGACCCCACCCCAGCTGGTGACATCAAAATTCTAATGGGTGGGTTGACATGAATGCCAAACTGGGAGCAGACAACACATGAAGGAAGAGAACTCATCATGGGTTGAGAAGCGCTAGGTGAGGTGATGAACGAGAATGGAGAACTGTTTGCAGAATTCTGTACATTCAACAATTTGGTGATTCGAGTCAGGCAGTGTGTACAAACACAAGGATATTCACAATGCAACATGGGTTTAATTTCATCACATGGACACACTAAAAATCAGATCGACTTCATCGCAGTGTGAAGAAAGTGGAGACGCAGTCAGCCTACTTGACACAATATCAAGAAGGGAAGCAGATGTAGGTTCACAACACTCATTATCTAGTGCAAGGAACCTTCCAAACCAAGTTAAAAGCCTTCAAGGAAGCTGGTGATAGACCACAGTTCAAGTATAACACTCGGAAACTGAAAGACGAAACTACAGAGAGAATCTTCACATCAGTCAGCCATCGAGACAAAGTGGGAGATATCGAGGAACATCCCTGAAGAAACCTATGTGGAAGAACACTGGAAGTGTTCGAAAGAGATGTGGAAAGAAACCTGCATGACCGTATTAGGAAGGAAGAAGAAGTAAGAGGAGACAGGAAATGGATGTCAACGGACAGATAAAAGCTGATAGAGGAGGGTAAACCATGAGTTGGGTGTCTGAGCTGAGGGTGACACGGAGGAGATCATGTGAGGAAGGAATGAAAGCTCTTGGGTAGTTGTGGCGCCAGGTCCAAAAAAACTGCAGAGAAGAGAGTGCAGTAGAGGCGTGCTACTGAAGTCCTATGTTCCAATAGGGACCCAAGGGACAAATAATAAGTAATATAATAATAATGTAATCACATATAGCCATGAGGCATCATGGTGATAATAATAACAATACCTAAGGAATTCTTCTAATCGGGATGAGGAAGTTAGGTATGGATTGTTTTGGGGAAATTAAGAAAATAATAATCGATGTATGTTTAGATTTATGTCACGGTACCTCATAAACAGATGATCCAGAAGGAAATATAACGAGGGCAAAATTACTTTGAATCAGGTTTGTGAGCTGTTTAATATGTAATGTGGTACTTGTTACATCCGAATGCGATTAGAGTAGTAACGAATGCTTTCCCTTCTTTTTATTCATGAAGTAGTGATAAATTATTGGTATATTTATTGTGCAATACAAAAGTATCTACATGGTACGTTTTCCTTTTCCTCTAACAGTCAGTGAGGTTTTAAATTACAGAAACAGTACTGTATCATCAGACTTAGTCTTTCTGTATTTTTGCTGCTGTCAACGCCCTCTTTTTGTCATTAGGATTGTTAATAAGGCAATAACTGAACAACCTAGTAGTTTTGATTGGTCATGTAAACAGCTGACTTACAAACTGAAAACATGAAACTTTTAATATGCCAACTTTCGGAGACCAAAACATCTTTAAGTTTTACAAACAATATTATCAATCTGATGTAAAATCTGTTTGATGGGCTCTCCGACATATGAGATGGTAGTTGTTTTTAAAGAATATCAAGCAACAGAATCCCGAAAAAATGACGTAAAAGAACAGAGACTTCAGTGAACAAATATGAATCGGTGATATCATCCTCTGAAGTCATAAAATCTCATTAAAAAATGAGGACAGTTATTCAATGACGGGATTGGCTGGATGTCACGCAGTATCTTAAACTGATAGAAGTAGAATGTATGGACCACTGGATTCATATCCAGTGGGTCAGTAGTAACGTGCTGGCTATGAGACCTGAAAGTTCTGGATTCAATCCTTGGTGGTATGGGATCATGGGTGCGCACTACTGAGGAGTACCATTCTGGGGCGAAACAGCTGTCCACTACTCCTAGATTTCCATTGTTTCTCTAACTTATGTCAGTTCATGATGAATACCGACTTGGAATCAATAAATAAATCCCTACAAACCTCCGAACTGAATTTCATTAAATATAGTTCGAGTGCATAAAAATATCACTATTTGTTAATCAGTGATTGCTAGCGATTTGTGACCATAAAAACAATATAGGAGTGGAAAAGATGAAAATTTTCTGTAAGAGTAAATGTGAATCAAAACCAAGAAGTAAAGACATCACGAAAAAGTGAGTAAACAGTTGTTAGTACTTAAGGGAATGAGAAATTAGTGACTTAACCAAAAATAGTCATTATTATTTGACTTTCTGAGATAGCCGCAGTTTGGCAGACTAGTATTTATACTGGGTGATAACTCAAGGTGAGATGGAAGTTTGGACCGCCGCGGGGTTCGAACCAGCGGCCACCAGGTTACCGGCACCGTGCTGTACCAACTGAGCTACGAGGCCCAACTGCTGACCAGAATTTTATTTCATTTCAATCACGGTGGTCGCTGGTTCAATTACGACCGTGGTCCAGATTTTCATCTCACCTTCAATCATCACCCAGTATAAAAACCATTCGCTTAATTTTCCTTTTTATATTATTTACATGGTCAAAAACAGGAGTTTATTAACAAACTTTGACATTTTTATGTACACTAACTATATTTATATTCGACTGTATAGTTGCTGAGGCTAATGTCAAGAGAAATAAATTTCTTCACTGAAATCTGTATTCTTTAATGATTCAGTGAGAATATTTAAATCCTCAAAAAAGGGATCTGTTTGTTTACGATCTAAAGAAATCGATCATGACGTCTAAATAGGCAGCAGAATTTATGCGAACTGAACAAAATTCTAAAAGTATCCCTCTTTTTAAATAAAACACCAAAGTTGACGTTAAAGTTTAACAGGAGTCAGTGAAGTTTCAGGAGTTGATTGTAGACTTTTGATCTGATTTGGATGATGACAATTAATAATTTCAATCAAGCAAGCCTACCTTTTTCTCACTAAATTTATTGTAGGAAAATTCCCACTGCCAGGCAGTAGTGTCATTGCGCCTGGAATGGCTGCTACTTTCCTACTACAGTTTAGACCAGACAGTTTGGGTGATTTTGAAGATGAATTAATAATTAGATATGAAAATCAATTAGAGTCATTATTTGTTAAACTACTTGGACGAAAATCCCGCCCCCAACTTAACTGTGAGTTTAACATTCATATCATTAGTATTATTATCATAATCGTTAGTCTGTGTATGTCCCTTTAGATTCATCTAGGCATTTAGCGTTGAACGTTGTCTCGTTTTTCAGCGACTAAATGATAAAAGAATTCGAAAACTAACAATAATAATATTGCTTTATGTGAGAACTATCTTTCCTAAATATTGAGTTTTTACTGGGCAGTCTTTACTAAACAAATTTTCTATCACTGGTCTACTAGTTCCTACATTGATCTTAAAGCTAAACGGAAAGGTTATTGAATTTCATATAAAACAATAAGACGAAGGAAACTATTTTGCTCTTATCTTACTGCAAGATTACCCAATCATACTTATTACAAATATGTAGCAGCCGATTATGAGTTAAGCGGTTGGTGGCAACAAAACTGTAACTTAAAATGACTCATTTTCTTTACCACCGTTGTTATGTTTGTGTATCTATCAATGTCAACAGGGATAGCAAAACCAAGACAATTAGGAATCAGGAGTGATAAAGGTGATAAAAGGTTTATCTTATTTGACAAAGTAAAAATTATCTACAACCTTTACTTAATCAAAGGAAGTGAAACCAAAAGGTGAAGATGATGTTAACAGAGTGAATGATTAATGCACATCAGCGAAATAAGCAAAGAAGGAAGAAGATTAAGACCACAATATAATAAAAGGCTTATCACACCACTTTTTTACATAGTCACATCCTTAGTTTCCTAATAGCTAATGATCATACTATGGATAGTCAATATAGTAAAAAATTATCACTTGAATTGCATTTTATTTTCTACAACAGAACACATTGAGTCTGAAGAATAACTCATAAAGCAACACACCTATTGACTTCTATGTTATCATATTCATACCTCCTAAGTCCTTTCACCATTAAAGCCTTGAAATTGATTATGCATCAACCGTGACTTGCTTGGAAACCTCAGGGTTGTTACTGTTCTATTTCACTTTGAATTATTTTCAAGTATTTTCTTCAAATGGCTACTTACTGAGTTCAATTCGTTTTCTTAACAGCTGTATCATCTGTATTGGTCTGTTTTAGATTCGTGGATAAGGAATTATTGACGAGCCTATCATCGTTCAAAATGATTCAACTTCGAACGTTTGGCTTTTTTCTAATGATAGATTCTTGAAAAGATGACTAATCTATGTTGAATACCTAGTGTATGAAATTAAGTGTATTCATAATAGAAATTTTGGCAGATAGATTTTATCATTAGGAGCATGGTTAAAAACGGCTGCCCTGATTGAGGAACGACGATCTTTGACTTTTCTCTTCATAACTCTGCTACGTTTTGTCACTTTGTTCCTCACTTATTTAATATTCATCTTGAAACCTGCTACATCGATATGTTGATGTGAGATGTGACAATCTTGATCGTTACATAGTAATACCAAGTTTTATGTTGTTGATGGTATTCATGTTATAAAATGTTTAAAGCTAACCAGTAGGAAGTCCCAGTTGTAGTTTTCGTCCTTGACACTCATCAGCAGGACGTCTCTGCAACCATGAGAAGACTAGTCTTCCCTCGGTGATGTGAACCTGTGTTATTCGGTAATGAAGTCAGAAAGGTGATCACTTAGCTATGCAAACCATAACTGATTCTGTGTAGAACTTGATTGTCATTAAGTAACCGATATAGTTGTTGAATCCTAAGTACTTGAAAAGCTGTCAGTGGCCAGTATAAGTTATTTGATATATTTTAGTGGTAAAATGAACATCAAATACGTCTTTCACATCTAAACATCATTATACATGGGAACAGATGAATGACAAACTTCCTCCACCTTGAAATGTAATCATGCTTCTAAACCACTATAGCGTCATTATTTTTTTAATGTTTACTGATCGATTTTATAGTCTGATGTGTTATTTTGCTAGTTCCCTGTACTGACTGATTTGGTCACGAACTTTGTCATTCACCTCTGTTCCAATATATTATCATTTTTATTTGAAAGATATATTTGGTTTAGACTTTATCATTGATATATATCAAATAACTTATGCTAGACACTGACCTTTCACTGTACACAGTTTTAAGTATGGGATGTACGTCGAAGATTTAGAGCACATAGAATGAATTATATTTGGTCCTCAACGCTTTCTGTCCTACCTTTTTACAAACTGGTTTCTAAAAACGCCTTCAATCTATTGCTGCGATAGCTGACAATGTACCACTGTCAGTGATAGTCATGACTAAGATAGCATGTTTCCAGAAAATGACTAATGGGAAGTCGAACTACGTTTGTTGATATGCTCTATTGTCAAGTATTGGATCGCTTGAACTTCTGATGACTGAATCACTCTTTAGTTGATGCATCCCTAGTTGACAGACAACTTTAAATTGGTGAGTACAAATTATGCAACAATTTGATCGTAAACTGAGCTCCCAACCTCAGTGAGGTTCACCAATAACAGTTAACTATTTTTAAATAAAGACGTTTATATCTTTCTAAATGTATACTTAAGTCTAACTCAATTCAGTGCAATACAATTAATTTTAGAAAACTATTACGCTGTACTCCTATGGACCTGCGTTTTCTGACTGACTTGTGAACGAAAGATAAGTGTTGTATGACCTCGTAACGAACTATTGTTCAACCATCTTGTAGCCTATGGTTCACAAATTTTGTTGAAGTGCTTATACAACTCTACATCGAGTTTACTGTTAACTGATTTTAACTGTTTTAAAAGGATGATGAGCACTGCTAGACAAAAAAGATTGGTTGCAGGCAGATTCATAAAGTACTGGTAAATTACCATAATAAATACTCAGGCAGTATCGAAGCATCCGCATAGGAGCCCATATGTCAAAAGAGGTCAAACAATTCAATCAAGTTTAACAATAGAGAATTACAAGTATATCAATAAATAGTTATGACTAATATCCTTTGTACAAGAGGTAGCCCTCGTGCCTCATTGATCTAGTGGATAACGCTTTGGCGTTTGAAGCGATGGGTAGGAGGTTCAAGTCTCAGTGGGAACAATGTAGCTCATTAGGGTGTAGGTTTATCAAACTGACGAGTCCCAAGTGGGAAGAAAAGTGCTCCGTTGTTTCCTATGCTAGCCAAAAGCAGATAGATTGCCAGTATTCTACCTAACATTTTTGAAGATCTACTGAGAAGAAAAGTTGATAACCTTTAGTTTGTATGATTTAACCCTTTCCATTCAATAGGATTGTGCAATGTTAGATGTCTCTGTAACCCATATTATCTCACTAATCCAGATGGACAATAATTATTTTAATAATAATGTAAAAAGGAATTAATACTTCTTGTTAGACTTCTTTATATCTATATCTCGCGAAATTTCTAATACCTATCAGTCTTCATAGTACACTGAATGATTCAATGTATTAAATAATTGTAAAGACTAGGATAAGTTATTTCGTGACAAGTCGATGTTATTCGAGATATAAATGAATGCTAACGTGTTTCAGGATGGATGGACTTATTAAAGTCCCATTCCAACAAAAAGTGATTATCCAATAATGTTAAATCTATAACAGTGATGTTAACGTTTACGGGATTAACTATTTCATGACTTATAAACGTTAATCTGTTGAAAGTCTTATGCTCAAAATGTGTAACAAAAGAAATGCTTACACTTGAGATACGCTGTCTGTATAACTTATATAAATATTCAAATGTTCGTCACATCAGTTTCTCGTTTATTACTGGTAACTGTAATCGTTATATTCCATCATCTGTTTCTGTTTTGAAATGAACCATTAATTATAGTGCTAGAGTGCTACGATTTGGGGTGCGTATTAAAAGGCAGTACTAAGATGAATACCATTAAAATTGAAAACTCTAATCCAGATGTGGTTTCCAGCGGAAACTTTCTTTTTATTACCAAACAGTCATTTGACCAATATCCAAAATATGATGCAAAAAACTTTCAAGTAAGTGATATCATACAAGTTATCAATAATATTACTATTGAATCTAACTTCCTATAGAATTTTTTTCTACACAAGAACCCTGTCTATACAAGAGCTAGTATCCTGAAAAGTAATACTCTCCGTCCTGTTCTACGGTTTGAAGATAGCTTCAGATGGTGCAAAACATGAGAGGGGGATTGAATTTGATGTGAATTTGCATTCCAGTAGAAGGAAGCCTACCTATACTAACTGAAGTGAGTGACAGAAGTCTACTGTACACTGAAGTCATCCAATCTACGTGCAGCTAACATTTACTAGTAGCTACAGCAGAACTGTATTGGAAGAAAGAGTAAAGGTGACAGAAAGTGTCATAAAGGAATGCTAGTGATGCTCAATAAATTAAATCGAAATTAATCACCATGAAACATATGTAATTACACTCTAAAGTTTGAGTTTATTTACATCATATTCGTCTTCATTATCACTTGTATTTAATCTCATATTCTTCTGATTAGTTCAGATATGTGAATAATTTTCTTTTCTGTTAATGCCTTACTGAGAAATGTGGTATAATGAACTGTTGGATGTTTGTGTGAAGCCATATGTGTTCGTCACTGCTCACATGTTATCACTCAAACTTTACTACGATAAGCTACTCAAATATCCAATTTATTACACGTTCGGAGTATTAGGTTTGACAGAGCTGTTCAGTAGGTCAATCGGTAAATAATGTTATCTTCTAGAGCACATAGGCTGCTTTCATGGCTTCATTAACCTCTGAAGTTCATTATTAGTATTACTGCTTTTATTGTCGTTATTAACAGAAACTATCTCTTGAGTAAAGTTGGTTTATAATGCAAATTAAAGATAGATATTTACAAATAAAAGCCAGTAACCAGTCTAACAAATGCTAAGACTTACTATAATGACTGAAAATATGACAGCTTTACAATCTGGTAATAAACTGACTCTTGTGCTCTGTCCACAAAGAAATTTCTAGTTTTCTAAGATCTGATTCACAGGATACTTTAAAGTTTAGACAAGAAAAGAAAAATTCCATATTAGATATGTTTATTTGATTTATAACGCACAGTAATCTAGTATTATCTACTCGATGACGTTTCGAGCATACATTATTGCTTATAATCATATCAATGTAATCATACTACTTTCGACATTTGAGTTTTATAGTTACGTCACTTTACATGAGTTGTTTTTATTGGTAGAAAAATTTTCTATAGCTCTGGTATAGGTGTTGCATCATTTCTACTACATGTGTTGAGTATTGATTCCATGAAGAAAGATTCAGTAATCAATCTCTATCTACACCTAATTATATTGGATTTAAGTAAAGTGGCTTTATCCCACCCTACTGTGCGGCTGTGTTAATGCATGTATAGCATAGGCAAGTTTTTTCTAGATTATTGATCTTATTTAGGTCTGTTATTCTATATTTGGCTAAATTACTATGTTCGGCTGTTCTAACTGACCCCGACCGACTAGTTTGATTTATGTACTTGACCTCACAGTCATTACATGGTATTTGATAGATTATATTATTTTGCTTAATTGGTTCTCAACAACTGCTACGCTCCTTACTGAAGATCAGATGGCCAGAATAATGAGAATGAGCAACAAGGAACTCTGGCTGGTAACGAACCAACCAACAACCTATCGCTGAACAAATATGCAGAAGGAAGTGTAGATGGATTAGGCATACACTGAGAAGGGCGACTACGGACATCACGCGCCAGGCCAGGTCATCAAGTGGAAGCGACGAGTTTGGCGTCCGTGGTGAGGGTGACATGGGGGAGGCGGTGGGATGTAGAAATGAGAGGTTGCGGGCTGTCGTGGAGCCAGGTTCAAAAGATTTCAGAGAACAGAGTGGAATGGAGATGTGCTACTGAAGCCCTATGTTCCACTAGGAACCCAAGGGACAAATAATAATAATAATAATAATAATTGCTTCTATCGTATCCTTAAGCCGACAAAGTTTATATCTGATCGGGTTTGTAGGTTTAAATGCCACCCTAATTCCAGCTCTGTTGAGGAGTCTACGTAAAGTTTTTGAGGGACCCTTCTTACAGGGTAACACGATGGAGGCTGTAAACTCTTTTTTCTCGTGTTGTCGTTATTAGTCGCACTCATATGACTGTTATCTTTCTGTTTTTTGTGTGTCCGTAAGAATTTCTTAATAAACTGAGGAGGATAATTATTAACGCAACACCTATACCAGAGATATGGAAAACTTTGCTACCAATAAAAACAACTCATATAAAGTGACGAGAGTAGTATGATTACATTGATATAATTATGAGCAGTAATAATTTATGCTAGAAACGTCATGAAGTAAATAATACTAGATCACTGTGTGTTATAAATCAAATAAATAAATCTAATATGGAATTAAATTCTGCCACAGCGCCCAAGTTTTACACCTATATTAAAGAAAAGAAAAATTAATGTAGGTCTTTCGCATATGGGCATCAGTCCAAGTTGCAAAACTTCACGGTACCGTATTCAAAGATATTGGAAAGTAAAGATGGTGTTAAAGTGAATAAAAGTATCCGACAGAATAGGGGTGAATAAATTAAGGTTGATAAGATCTTCATACTTAATGCAAATGCTTTTGATGTGCAAGCGTATTGTGGTGAAATTTCGAAACATTTTATATTCCACTCTATGGTAAGTATTACAACTCATGAATTTATCTTTATCAATTGTGTATCTTAGTATGTATATAATTCTAAATGTTTGAACTAAGTCATTTTCACCAAAAAACCTGGAAGAGATATTTCTGTTAATCGATTTTTCTTAAAACGTTTGTGGTGTTTGTAGACTTGCTGACTTTACAATAGAATTATTAAATTTGATGGTGGTTTGGTTTTCTTTGAGTTGTGATATTTTGTAGTGAATGTTTCATTACGTGAATTGGTGACATCTTCAAAACTAACTTCATAAAGAAGTGACGCACATTCGATTCTTATGCGAACGTTTATATAGTGTTTTTGTTGACTTTCGGTGTTGTTCAAGTATGAGTTGAAGAGGGAATTTTTCCACCATACCTTGACCTCTTCGACCTTAAATTTCTTTCAGCCACACTGGTAATTAGTCTTTATTGTTGTTTCTGTTAAGCTGCACATCATTATTGATTCATCTGGTCAGTTTGCGCTTGTTTGTTGGATGGTGTTAGTAGATTATAGATTGAGTCTGTATCCACGTGTCTGTTGACTGACTTTTCGTCTGAATATAATGCTTCTAGAAATTCCTGTGGAGCTTTTGAACCTGTTCTTTGGAGGATTTTCGCATTTTCCGGTCAAATTTTTGATCGTGATTGTCTCTGTGCATCGAAACCAAGGAGGCTGTGTCATTTGGCTTGACTGCTAGTTGGTGTTCATGAATTTTTTGAGCAATCCGACGGCTACACTGGCCAACATAACGCTATGAACAACTTTTACAATTGGTTTTGTAGACTCTATTTGTCTTGTCTTCTTTTGGCGATGGATCCTTTGGCTTGCACAACATGCTGCGTAGTGATTTCCTTGGTTTATGGGCTACTCCGATTTCGGAGGGAAGAAGAAATTGGTTGACTGTTTCTGAAATATCTTTGATGTAGAGTAACGTGGCTATTGATTTTAGGCAATTGTTCTGCCTTGTTGATAAAAGCTTTTTGATGAAGCCCGTGAATAATGATTGGCTTTGAACAGTTTATACAGGTATTTTTCTTCGGTTTTCCAGAGTGCTTCAGTGCTGCAATGTGTTTTGGCTCTTGAGAATAGTGAAAGAAATTTAGAGTCAAAGAGATCAAGGTGTGGTAAACAAATCCCTCTCCAACTCACAGCTGAGCAATACCAAAGGTCAACAAAAATACTGTATAAACTTTCGTATAAGAATCGAATATGCATCACTTCTTTATGAAATTAGTGCTGAAGATGCTACCAAGCCTGGTGATGAAACGTTCGCTTCAAAATATCACAGCTGAAGGAACACCAAACCATCATCATCCTCATCCTGAGCCAAGAATCTTTTCCATCATGTCAATTACTAACTTTGCTCGCATATTCCTATTTTGACGGGTTAAAAAATTGAGTGAACTGTGAATACTAACCACAAAATAACACACAACTACATCTTATGAAAATTTACTCAAGAGTTGTAGCAAATCACAGTCTCTATTCAAAATGCATGGAGTAGTATTGATAATATGTTGTATCAAGTCATAACCAGTTGCAGTTCAGACAATCTGATTGTGACTTGTCTCACCTTATCAGTATCTGTTGATTGTTTATACTGCTTAGTTGTTTCAGAATACAAGATGTCTCTTTTTGGAATAATTATCAAAAATTAGGTACGTCACCTTGTTAACATCTCTTTTAACAACTGAAAAGTACAAAATCAATTCCCAAGTCTGGGGTCATACTTATAAGTTATAAAAAGCGGATGAGATAAGAAACTTTTGTTGAATTAAATGGCAGGGTGACATTTTATATATGGCTGTTTACCACTTATTTTGTCAGGCTGATAGATGTAGGTAGAGTAAGTGATAAAAAAAGTCAAAGATGGTTCAATTAACATGTTCTAATATCCTATAAATTTTTCAACTGCTTGTTTGTACTGCACTAGAAAATTTCTGCTTTCATTTTAAAGTTCATGAATGAAAGAAACAAGATTTTAGGGAAGTAAGATGAAATGGGTCAAACAAATCTTATTGGGTTACATTTATTCATTCCGTTTGCCAATGTAAATTACAATATTGCATAGCTTCATTCCTGCAGCTTCTTTTTCTCTTCAACATCGCATACCGTTCTAAAGACTGATGATAATTTCTTCATTTCTTCATCATCTTCCCTGTTTACAGCTACTTTGATGAACTGCGAAAAGGTGAATAGTTACAAACTAGTATTGTTCTGTGTAAATTTTGCATATTTGGCTGTTAAAACCCAGCATACTCTACTCGGTTTAAATTTTAATTTTCAAGTTGATAATAACAATAAATTGTTTGTATTGAACTTTTAAAGGAATACTATGCATCTTATGTCAGTGGTCACACATCATCTCTATGTCTGGAATCATTTTCTCTTGAACCTGTACAATTCACCCTTGAAGCACTGAAACCAGTCACCATAACAATAGAATTCAAACCTGTTTCTCTTGGAGAATATAAATGGGAACTTGTGCTACTTTGCGACAATGGACAATCTTTTCCAGTAACATTCAAAGGTATTCACATGTTTTCTGTACATTTTCAAAAAAACCACTCAGTGACCATAAGATGAATTCATTTTTTGAATAAATTAACAAATGGAATTTAGATGTCGCTCAAAGACAGTTTTTTCTACAGATTTGATATCTGTTTATTGATTTCAGGTTGGTATTCATCGTGGCCTGACATCAGTTGGAGAAACACTGGAAACCCATGAGGACTGAATAGCTGTTTTTTCTAAGTGCAGAACTCCTCAGTAGTGCGCACCCATGACCCCTCACCGACAAGGATTGAACCTAGGATCTCCAGGTTCTGCGGTCAGCACGTTGCCGTTGAGCCACTGGGCTAGAATTCAGTGGTCCATATTATCCTACTTCTATCAATTCACGATATAGCGCGACCTCCATCCAGTACCTTTGCTGAGTTACTGTTCTCATGGTTGGCTTTGTTGGCCTTACTGGTCACGACTCCTTATTGAAGATGGTCACCAGTGAGCACTAGATTAACTCACTTTGCAGGTTTATGGGGATTTATTACTTTCATGTTGGTATTCATTATGGACTGACATCAGTTAGAGAAACATTTGAAACCTGGGAGCGCTGGATAACTGTATCCTCCTGCTATTGGACTTCTTTGTTTATTGCTGGTTTGAATCCCCTTGGCACTGCACATGTACAACCCCTTTAAGATAGCAAGCTGGTTACCGTTGGATTTCATGAAAAATGTCTACGATTTAACTACTTTTCTGATATCCAATAATCCACATTTTCCAACTTCAATCACTTCATGATAGAGCGTAATCTTGATAAAGGAGTATTAGTCTCCTGAAAGCCTTGCTTACTTTGTATGAGAACTAGATAAAAATATGTAATTAGGTGTTTATTTTGTTAAATTTTATTTGAAAGCGACGTTAGGTTGTGAAACTGATAGTTTCAGATATTTATCTAACCTTTTTCTGACTGACAAAAGTAGTTTTTAGTGGTAAACAAAATGATCACAATGGTGCACATCAAGAATATAGAATTTATCCTAAATTTAGGGAAAAAAGTTAAAAGATTAGAAATACTGTTACTTCTTTCTTTTGGATTCTCATTGAAGGATAGCATTCCAAGTATCATTTAAAACTAACTGCATTCATCCTATACAAAAATATCGGATAATCTTTAACCGCACAGTTCCTTAAATGAACATTGATCACCTATTAAACAGCAACATATATTTCTTTTTGTGTTGATGGAAATGGAAAGCTTTCAGATTGGAGTTACAATTATGTTATGTTAATTTGAAGCAAGTAACTAGTGAGAATGTTATAAACTTCTACAATCTAGAAATCAACACCACTTGGCTGCCGATGATATCATTTTTAGTGATCATTTCTAGAGACTAGTCAAAAGCGTTTCTAAGTTTGACAACCTTCCGTTAGAAAATCAGGTAGTAAAAGAGAATGTCACGTATCAAAATAGGCAACTACGCCTAAGCCGATTTACACATACAATCAAACCATTTGTAAATTAAAGATAAACTTTTTCACTCAATACATCAATGTTATCCTTGATTTGTTTCTATATTACGGAACAGAGACATGCAAACAATTTGGCGTAAAACCTTGCACAAAAGTGCATCTGTCCAAGTTGTCACACTTCACAATAACATGCATAGAACAAATACGTACGAGTACTATAAAATTAGGGAAAAGTGGAAGGTAGGAGAAAGAATTAAGAAATGAGGATTCATGAAAATGTTAAGACTTTAGATGTCAAAGGTTGAATGCGTCTGTGCCACTGTGATTTACTTTCAACCATTTTAACAGTGACTCCTGTCATCCCAAGGACTTCAAACATGATGTACACACTTCGCAATACGGCTCCAAACAACAGTTCGAGACTTCATGAACTGCAGTCAGATCTGTGTCTGACCATCTTAGATTTCATTTCAACGCAATCCTATTTCAGCTAACGTTGCACATCAAAGTAGGTTATTGCCGGGCATGATGAAGATATTTTTAAACCCCCTCAGGCTGAGAAAGTTTGCAACCGCATCAGCAAAGGTTGATCAGCATAATATATTTGCTCAGTAATCCATTCATAGTCAGACAATGTAACCATACCTCTCGGTTGGTAGAATCGTATGCCGCTTAAGAAATATAGCAAGTTTTGGTTGGCGGTAAGTATAACAGCGTTCTAAGTCCTGACTAGGGATGAAGATTTGATCGATGCACTCTCGTCTTGGTCTAAAACCTTCCCGGTTTTCTTAAGTCTGTTTTTCTGCAGCGGTTAGGCATCAGATAAATATGGGTTATAGTCAAACTGATCCTCCTGTAGTTGACACAGTAAAACTTTTCTCCTTCTTTTCAAGCTAGATTGATCAGCGATGTAGATCAATCTGATAAGAACACCACAAATTCCCACACACCAGTTAATATCTCGATTACTCTACTTAGTAATTTTCTACTTCCTCCATTAAAACCTAGTTGCAAATGGCCAGCTTCTTATGCTTTGCATAGCTTCACGTTTAAAATAACTTTTTCAACTTATGAGAAAGTTGGAGGATCCACATATAGGTCTCATTTAGGTTAAGGATAGATTACAGGCAACCGAAGGACATCTAAAGGCCAGTTAAAATGTGCTTCAAAGTATTCTACAGATCATTCTATCTGGCCGTCGTGATGGGTTATCATTAACCGATCTTTTTAAGCAATTATAACAATAGTCATTGTCTTCTTCTAACCAGCATTCCTATAAATTGTTGCCGTTAATCAGTGATTATCAATTATAAAAACCTTGTTGCTGCTTCAGGAAGGAATGGTAACACTAAGGTGTAATAATACTTTTTTCTGTTTCTGCTTGGTTGTATAAGCCTTCCTGCAAAATTCAGTTTTCTCAGGTGTGATAAACAAGGTGACAGAAATAAGTGGTTGCAGAGTATATGTGATATAATTCATAGGAACTCATTCTTCCCCCAGCTTCATCCAAACTGTTTTTTTCTGTTTTCACTTCGCTTATGGCTTACGGTGACTAATGAAATCAATAAATCGATTTCTTGGTTTTCGTTTTTGTGGTCAGTTGGTTAAGCAGTTATCCTACTGGTTTAATCTAACTCTGTTGTATAACATAAATGTTATAGTCCCTAGTCTGAGCCCCAAAGTGATATAAATTAGTGGTTATAGACTGCCAGTAATATAAATCAAAACTGTTCTAAATAGTAGAGATATATACACTCTTTATCATCCTGGTTTTGAGCATTACTACTACTTGTTTATATATTGATTACATCTCCTCATATGTTTTTTTTATACTTAACTGTCGTAATGTTTTGATCCACTTAGTTTTTGCGCGCCACCGTGAAGCGCAGTAAATGAACCCCATGTATTTTGCAGCAAGAATCGACATTTATTTATCTACCTTTATGTCATCCTATTTTTAGGAAACTAGCCACTATGTGATCACATTTTACAGTAAACCAGTAGTCATGTTTTAGTAAGATAGCATGATCTGGATTTTCAGAAGTATCTTGAAATCATTCAGCAAAACATCAGTAGCCACTTTGATGTAAAATACCTTCACTTTTATCTTAAGATTTCAAGCAGATTAGTTATGCTATGCGATCCCATAATGCCATACAATATTAGATGGTAAGCCAGTGATGTCATGATAAAACATTAAGTAAGCTGTATGCTCCCCTGCGTAATGACTAAAATGTAAGACATTCTGCCAGACTTAGTTAATAACAGAAATAGGAATTGGGACGTAACACAGACTGTTAAAATACTCTGTATTCATCATTACAGTAACAAGGACTTCTCATCGACTAGACTTACAATAAAAGATTGCTTCGTACACTATATTGTTATTTCAGAAAAATAGCCACTCATACTTATCCAGTTTTTCAAAAGTTCATCATGGCTAAACAATGAACTTATCAACCATCATTTTCATATAGGAAAGTATTTTTCCCCGCGGAGGCTGTATTTATGATACGCAATGTGTTCACCGTGTTACATAAAATTATAGCCTAATTCCTAATCACATCATTAGTTTTCACTGTCTCTATTTTATATACTAGGTACAGGAGAAGAACTGAAGTTAGAAATAATTGAGATCATGGATGAGCATGTTGATCCTTCAGGAATTTCATCATTTAGAAGAATTGGAGATAATTCAAGCAATTTATTTTATTTCTATCAGTTCCCAGTGCAGTACCCTTATACTGTAGCCCCAAAGACAATGAAAATTTTTAATGCCTGGTAAATAGACATATTAAATTTGACTTTGAATTTTTACTCTGATATGCTTTTCATTTAAAGTGATATTTCTGATACAAATTCAATGTAATAAGTCACTGGAACTTCATCACTGACTTTTTTAGATTTTATATCGACTGCCAAATAATTGAAAGGCGAATCAGATTAACAGAAGGGATGAAGGAATTACAGATTCTGCACAATAAGCGTGTAACTTAAAATGCAATGAGGTCTCATCTTGAACGCTTGCTTTATTTTATGTATCATTATGTTATATTAGCATAAGTTACTGACTGACTGACATTAAACCTTGTTATTTCTGTAAGTTGATCGGTTTGTTCTGAACTGGTCAATCTGTGTTGGTAAATAAGTTCATTTGTTGATAACTTGATATATCTAGTGATTTCATCTTGATATTAAAGATGAATATTGATTGCTGTTGGAAGATTATCATTGATAGAGACAGCTGACAAGTTCTAGATGAGAAGAAACATGAATTATGCATTCCACTGCCAATCACTATCCATTACTAATTCCAAATGATTGTTTGGCATCTTTAATTACAAATTGTTAGCACACTAAAAGTGCTGTTTATGCAAGCTCATCTTTTAATTTCGGATTTTGGAACTTCAGGTATTTGAGCATTTGCTTTAAATGGTGAGGAAAAGCGTAGTTACATAGGTTTAGGTTAATACAACAATTTCTAGTTATCAAGGGGTGTAAAAATGCATAGATTGCCTTACGTAATTCACATGAAGATAACCCTTCTTGTTAGACGAGCTAAGTAAGCAGACTTTATCGAAAGCTCGTCTAGTTAGTAATTTCAAAAGATATTCTCAAAAGTTTGCAAAATTCTTATATTAAAAACATAAAATGAAGTTATAGATGTCTACATCTCTTATTAACTGTTGATATTCAAGTAACAGTTTAAATTATCCTTACTAAATTTTGAGCTGGATTCCTTGCATGTGTTTCATTCTAGAAAAAGTAAAGCTACTTGAGTTACAAACATTCTTCACCATCTTCACATTTTAACAACTTATATGGAAAGTTTATTCTGTGCTTGTTTCAATCAAAGTAATGAACATTTGCAAGAATGGATTTTATAATGGTATTCAAAAGTTATGTCTACAGATTGTATTTCTTTTATGACTGACTGAATATCTGATTAACTGGTATTTCGTAATACTCATTTATTATTGCTAGTTCACAATCACTGCGTTTTCAATGGGTTCAACAAAATCCATCATGTAAAACACGTTGCGAAGAATATTCTCCAGATAGCCTTATTAAAAATGATGATGTCTTGAATCAACGTAAATCCTTATCTACAAGCTTAGCAACATCTCCAGAAACGCGGCTGGAAGATGCTTCACCTTTATTATTCACTATTCATCCAACAACTGGAGTATTTGAGCCGAACGAAATAAAATCCTTTGAAATTCGTTTCAATCCAATTGAGGTAGGTTAATAAACAAAGTTTTGTTGATTTACTTCCTCGTAAATATGAGTGTAATGGGTAAATAACTGCACTGTGCAACCAACTGCTTCCGAGATTTGTCGTAAAAAGTATCAAACCACATTGTTTAGATTATGTAGGTAATACTTTACGATTGAGAAGTGATTTATACTAATGATTTACTGTTAACTAACTTGTACTGAATCATTAATAACTGGATTGCTAGTATAATTGGATTCTCGCTCATTTGAAATTTATACTGGGTGATGATTGAAGGTGAAATGAAAATTTGAACCTCGGCCGAACTCGAATCAGTGACCACCGTGTTTCTGGCCCGATGCTCTACCAACTGAGCTATGGGAACCGAGTGCTGGCCAAATTTTTACTTCACTTCAATCACTAAGGGTTTTGCTCGACTACCATGTGATTTCGTGAAGCGTTACCACCGCTTGATTGTATTCACATTGCCTGCCTAGTCATTTAAAGTTTGTTAATGTAGCCCTGTTTGTATTCTAATTCCCAGTGGTGGTCCTTCAGTAGTCATCCTTGTTTATCTACCAATATCCATTCAGTAAGAAGCATTGAGAACATAGAATATCTAGTGTATCGATTTAGATGTTTTACAAGATTCTTGGGTTATTGGATGATACTATGAATTTCCATTCTCTTCCCCTAAGAAAAAGGTAGTTGGTTGGCTAATCTTTTTCCTCAAAAGACAGTTAGACAAATCGATATACCCAATAACTGTTTTCTGTGGGGCAAATTGAATCGTCCATTTTCATTAAAATCCATAAGTTGTTTGTACTTTCATCACTGAAGAACTAGATTCATTTAGTTGTTCTTTCAAAGTAGTCTTCACCATCTCTAAATTCCAATAAGATGGAAACAGTTATTGTTTCCTCTTTACAAATTCTATAGACAGATATGATAAAGTAAAATTGTACACAAAATTATTCAGTATGAATTGTCTGAGTTGGTGAGGTTTAAAAATTTTTAAATACTTCAGTTAAGCTGAGCAGTTATAGAGCTTTATCGGGTAGCGCTTTCTGTTCATTATTTTGGTACCTTTCAGTTTTATCGCACTACTGTTTCAACTGTAGAAAATCCTTCTGGAACTTGTTACAATCAGCTGTATAATATTAGTTATTTTTATTAGTTTTTTCCAGAAATTAGTTGACTTCAGCTAGTTTTTCTTTATTAAGTGGTAAGTCAGTAAGGGAAATATTGGAAGCCTGAGTTAACTGAATGTCTGCTTTAGGATTGCTTTGAAGTGCCCGTCTGAGACCGTAGCATTATCATGGCCTGTATTTTTGAAAGTGAGAAAAGTAAATTACAGATGACATTTTCGAAACTTTGCCAGTTATGAGCATAAAATATAGGCAAATGTCTTACACAGCTATCCGTTCTCACTTCCAACTTTGTGGACCTCACAATTTATTTATTGTTTTCTGTTAGAACCGTGAGAAATACACCTCCATTTCAGTCAGTAACTAGGTCTGTCTTCTAATTTATTGGATGCCTTATTAATGACCAACGTAACTGTAAACAGTTTTGTTGACAAAACTGATATAATCTATTAAATTAGCGAAAACAAGGGATACCTCCGATACCTTTTGCTTTCAGAGTTCATATTTGACGAACACAAATACTACAACATGACTTTAAAAATGTTGTCATTGTCGGAGAAATTCTCTTCACTGTAACATCTTTGTTCTGCGATGCATCAAAAGAGATTTCCATTGACAGGTTATGGTTGTACAATAGCTGAAGAAATTGGTAATAAACAAAGATCATTCAGTGAAAATGTTCCCATGTGTTGCATATGAGTCATGATTTCTAGTAATGGCTTTTTGTTTAGGTTGGAGAGTTTACAACTGTACTTGAAATGATATTACTTAACATTCCACTTGTGGATGAACTCAACAACTGTTACACAGTGGATAAAAAACACCTGACGATTGAATTAAAAGGTGTAACGGAATCGGTGCCGATATCGATTGAACCATCTATTTTAATTATACCAGGAAAATGTCTGCCCAACGTTCCGCTGCACCACACTATTCAGGTACGTTGTCCTGTAATGCTGAATGATCCTTTTTAAGCTTAAATACATTATTATCCAAGTGACTTTGTGTAACGTATATACATTTCATGGGTGTTATTTAAGTTTGTGAATAGGATTTTATATTAATACAAAGGCAAGCTACTATATTTATCTTTGTGGCTAGCACTGGAGTACAGGCACATGTTTCGTCCTATTCGGGACTCGTCAGCCGGATATACCCGCACCTAAGTGAGTGGTGTTGCACCCACTGAGACTCCAACCCAGTATCCGTTACTTCAGACATCAAAGTGATATCCACTAAGCCACTGACATGACAGCTACCTCCTGTGCAACGTGTATGAGTGAACCCAGTGAGAAAAACATCACCCATTGAGTGCACGTATATCCCACTGACGAGTCCCAAATAGGATGAAACGCATTTCTAGTCAGCAAGAAATACAACACCCTGAATGTCCAAAGTGCCAAAGCATCTGCAAAGGAGTCCATCTACCAACAAAGACCATGTAGTCTGACCTACTGTGGCAACAGGAAGTTACAAGTATCACACAGTATGTTATTGTAGTCCTGTTAGGCTATGGCCTTGTTGCTATTGTAAACCATCTGTCGTTGGTTTTGTGTGCAGATTACCGATACGATATCGAAGATATTGTAGCAAGTTCATTTGAACCCTGATTAATATGGGTCTTATTCAATCATAATAACCTCGATTTATTATCTCTTCATATAAGAATCTGAATCATCTTACTCTGTACTTACTGTCTTACCCTTTAGTTATTTCCTTTCTAATTATTTTACAATACTTTGAATTATGTTGTTCTAAATTAAAGCGATTCGAACAGTGCATAGTTTTTTCGTGTATGATTTTATATTGTTGCTAAAAAAGTCATTTTGGGATTGGGTGCCAACAGAGGTGGGCAAACGTAAGAAATTTCAAACAACTTGGAAATCAATAATTCACAGAGTAAGTCGTTTTCAATTGCCAGCCTCAACTAGTTGGAAGTAATGCGGATTGTGTCGACATCCTTGATAGACAGACGGATGTAACGCAGGACCTGGCACGTAAATACATCGGTTCATATTGCTACACTTTTCAACATTTAGGTTAAAAGTATTATTTTAAAAAAGGCAAGAAGAGGAACCTAAATGATGAGAAACAAATAAAGTAAGAGTAATTTCATGTAATCGAGGCACGGACCTAAACTTCGTTACCGTCCGGAGCATATAAAATGCAATTTGTTTCTACATCTGCTTATGCTGTACTATAACTATTTGCACTCGTTCCATGGTTTCAGTCACTGTTCAAATTCTAGACAATTGGGAGCCAGTTATATCCTAACTTCAGTGTACAGTGTCCCAAGTCATTCATTTTTCGCCTAAAATAAGTACTAAATATTATTTTCCGCTTTAAGGAATACTCTGACTTACATTTAGCACAACAGGATGAATATCCGTAGCGGTTACCTAAAGCCTAGTCAATAGCTGGGTATCTCTACACTGGTACAGCAGGTTGAGTAAAGTAGGCTGCTTTTTGGGTTGGTGGAACGATTTCGTCAAAACGTTTTCCAACCCCTATTCTCGGTCTAAGTATTTTATGTGTAAATTGAGGTGTTTGACTCAAGGAGATGTTTGTTGTGTCCAGTTGTTTATATTTCTGATTTCACTACAGGTGTCGGAATTTGTGTTTTGTTGACTAGTTAGCGAATCCTAACTTGGAGAAAGTGACCGCAATTTGGTTGTTGATCGAAAGGCTTTCTTTTTCATTCTTCATCACATTTTTCTGTTTATTCTCCTAAATTATATCCTTTTTAATAAGAGGATGATTTAACGAGGTTTAAAAAATATTTTAAATATAGTCCTGTGAGTAAGGGATTCCTATATGAGCTAAAATGAAGAACTATTTCATGTTTTACAATGGCTGAACAGCGGTGTTATCACTAGACAGTGCTGTATTGAGTATATGTTTTATCAAATTCCGTATCGAAACGGGTAAAATATCAACAAAGGGTTACAAATTTGCTCTACCTTCGAAAATCTTGTCGCTCCAGTCATTGGGAGTGTTTAAAACTGAACTACGTTTTATGAAACAGTCGACCATGACAAGATTCAGCGTGAGTACCATAGTCCATCGTTAACTTGACTTTTTCATCACGTAACTTACTTTTCTAAAGTTTTTCAGTTGAATGACTATTTATATGCTTTGCTTCTTTGAACGACTGAACCTGATAATTTGTAGCTGCTGAATAAATCTCATAACTGCCCAGTTGCATATTGTTGGCAGTGTAATTTTGACTTTAAAAGAAACTCTAACACTTCAAGTGCTTGTAGTCAGTCTGCAGTGGAAGATTATCAGCCGACTTCATCAAAAAAACTAGACAAGAATAATGATATAAAAAAGTCGGATGAACGTCTAATTATCTTAGAGCCAACTATGGGTGTAATTGCTCCAAGACAATCAATCAATGTTGACATATTCTTATCTTCTTCAAAATCTATGAAAGTAAAAGAAGACGTCCCCTGCTTTATTGACATACTGCCAAATTCTCCTCTGTGGCTGCACATTGAAGCTGAATTCATGGTGAGTAGTATTCTTGTTGCTACCTTTTTTACCAACCACTTACTCAATCGGCAATTTGTAAACAGCATCGATAGTCAATAATCATTTGGAATGAAAGGGAATAATTGTTTTCTACTGGTAGATATTGCAATCCAAAAAAATACATTCACAGCCGTTGTAATGCACCTTGGTATATATTAATTGTAGACATAAAGGTTCTACTCTATTGACAGTGTAACGCATATAGATAATTGAGTATTTGTAAAACTGTATTGAGATAAGCAGACTTATTATATGTACTTCAACGGTTTATTGCTTACATACTGTCTTATCAAGGAATAATTTGACACTACCAAGTTAAGAATAAGACAGGCATGTTTTTGCTCACAAGAGCTACATACAACTGATGAACATCAAACAAGTCATTTCTCATAATAGGGTAGAATCTTTATACTTAGTTGACGATAAATTAAATCGAGATAAGTAGATATTTGTAGAATACAATGGATTCCTTGTTCTTCGTTGCATTCTCTTCAGCTGCATATAATGCAACGATGCTAAATATTTATCTTAAAAGAGCCAATAAGTATAAACATGCTGATACTGAGTGATGATTGAAGGTGAAAGAAAAACTTGGGTTTCGAAAGGATTCGAACCGATGACTGTCATGTTACCGGCTTGAAGACCGATTGTTCAAATCACAATGCGACCTAAGTTCTCACTTCAGCCTTAATAATCAACAAGTACTAACAACATCAGTCCTCAAAATCCCATGGCTATCTCAAATATATTCATTAATAAATAATGTTAACAAACTCTAAAGTTCATAAGTGTGGTACTAGTTAGAGACTTATAAAAACTTTTGGGAAGTAAAATGTGAAAAGAACTATTCAAAGATTTCATACTGAAAAAGAGTTTTATGTAACTGAAGTGATAGTTATGAAATGTTAGGAAAGATAGCTGGTTAAAAAGGATGGAAGAATAGAACTGGGACTGCTCAGAAACAAAAACAAGATTTGAATTAACCTGAGTATGTTGTAACCAGAGTTAGGATTTAAAAAGTTGGCGACTACTTGCCTTCATGAATATATGTTCGAAGATATCTAATGCTGAGGTGATAATACAGTAAGTAAGATTCAGTTAGGCTGCTTCTACCGAAGAAAAAACACAATGAACACAAAAATCGTATATTATTTTACATTTAAATGTACAATTCTTCTCTACAACTGTTCACGAAGATCACGTTGGCCTCTGATGGTGTGAAATATCTAGGTTTAACAAAGATTTTATTTATTTTAAAGTTATTCATTACATGAATAAAATAAATGGACCGTATTTTTGGGGAGAAACTGCTCACGAACGTATTTTCGGTGAGTTAGAATCATGCCTTATCTCCAAACATAATAGTTCTTGGGCATATATGTATGACCAATGAAATTCTCCACAAATAATCAGCTACATTTGACTACTGAATACTTTATTATAATCTGAGAGATTAGTCTTCCATATGCTACACTGACTAACATTGGTCTCTGATAAACACGTTCATTTTGTATTTACTGTTGAATTGTGTGCAGCGCAGGTACAGTTTGAATGTTTCACTCTTTCACTCGTATGTCTCCGAAAAACCGTGAGTGTAGAATTTGAATTACGTTTCTTCTTCTTATTGCATTAGGATGAGTTTCTACTAGTGAAAAATTCCATTATTATTATTATTATTATTATTATTATTATTATTATTATTATTATTTTATTATTTGTCTCTTGGGTTCCTAGTGGAACATAGGGCTTCAGTAGCACATCTCCATTCCACTCTGTTCTCTGAAATCTTTTGAACCTGGCTACACGACTGCCCACAACCTTTCATTTCTTCCTCACAAGATCTCCTGCATGTCACCCTGGCTTCGGACGCCCAACTCGTCGTTTCCCATCTACGTTCCACTCGAGCGACTGGCCTGGCGCGTGATGTCCGTAGTCGCCCTTCTCAGTGTATGCCCAATCATTCTACACTTCCTTCTGCATATTTGTTAAGTGATAGGTTCTTGGTTGGTTCGTTGCTAGCCAGTGTCCCTCGTTGCTTATTATTATTATTATTATTCTGGCCATCTGATATTCAGGGTCAGTATCGAGTGAGCTAGCGTAGGCAGCAGCTGTTGATCAATGTCTGTAGTTTGTTGGAAATGCTTTTCATGACACGCCAAGTTTCTGAGCACTACAGAAGCACTGACTTGATATTGGTGTTGAGAATCGGGATCTTGTTCCACATGCTGAGTGCAGTAGATCTCCACACTGGTTTCAGGTTAATGAAAGCCTGTCTTGCTTTTCCGATCCTGGCTGGCTTTGACATCCTCATCTGTGCCTATGCCGCCTGTAGTTGAAACAGTACTGCCTAGATAGGTGAAGGAGGCTACTTCCTTTAATTTTCCCTTGTTGATGGTGATTGAAGTTTGTTGTTGTTGTTGGTGTTGGTTGGGTATCTTCATCACCTCCATCTCTACGTTCACTTGAAGGAAGTCCTGTCTTCGTTGCCTCACCTCTTCTGTCAACTTGTTGAATTTTGCCTGTAGATCTTCAAGTTTGTGTGCCACATTAGACACGTCATCGGTTAAATCCAGATCTTCTAGGTTCTTTTCCGCAGTCCAGCGTATCCCCCTCTTCTCGCCCCCCACTGTTTGCTGCATGATCCAGTCCACCACAATCAGGAATATTATGGGGGATAGTAGGCAACCTTGTTTCACTCCTGTCTTCACTTCAAAAGCATCACTGAGCTTCCCATTGTGAATTACTTGGCCGGCATGTGGCGTCTTCATATAGTTGTTGAATGACGCTGATAAAGGTTTGCGGTATTCCATAGTATTGAAGCACCTTCCAAATTACCTCTCGGTCGACGCTGTGAAAGGCCTTCTCAAAGTCGATGAAGTTGAGGTGTAGAGTTGACTGCCATCCTATACTCTGTTCTATGATGATGTGTAGTGTAGGGTTGCAATTTGGTCGGCACATGATTTGTACTTCCTGAATCCAGCCAGCCAGCCTGTTCCGGTCGTAGTTTTGAATCCAGTGCATCTCTTAGCCTCTCCAGGATGATGCGGCTTAATATTTTGCTGGCTTCCATTGGAAAGGAGAGTGATTCCGCGCCAGTTCTTGCAAACACTGAGGTCACCCTTCTTCGGGAGTTTGACAAGGTAACCCTTCTTCCAATCACTAGCCAGGTACCTTCCTTTCCTTCCAGTCCTTCTGCAATAGTAGTGTGAGCATGTTGGCTGTTGTCCCTGTGTGTGTTTTCAGTGCTGCTGGCGGGATTCCATCTGGTCCTGGTGCTACCTGCATTTCAGTAGCTTTAAGGCGCTAAGGACTTCGACTTTTGTTGGAGGATTTATGTTCACTGGTAGTTCTGTGGTTGGGCTGCATGTGGTACTTCTGGACGAAGTGCATCTAGTGGTGGTGGTCGACTCAAAAGCTTCCGAAGTGGTCGGCCCATTGTTTACTTTGTTTCTCTTCTTTCGTAATTAGATTTCCTTCATCATCTTTTATTGGTTTCATTTGTGTTGATCTCTTCCCTCTCAGATAGTAACCTGGTTATTTGATACAATGTTATCAGTTCTCCGTCTCTCCTAGCTGCAGCCTGTTCTGCTTCACTTGCCAGTGTATCTTGGAAGTGTCTTGTCTTCCCACCCACTCTCCCTCACTTCTTTTTCCAGTGTAGTGTTTTATGCGTTGTAATCAGATCCTCTTCTCGTCACTCATCCTTGCACTGGTTTATCTTCTGCTTCACTATCCTCCTCTCTCTGCTCTACCAGCTTCCATGTGTCAGTTGACGTCCATTTCCTGTCTCCTCTTACTTCTTCTTCCTTCCTAATACGGTCATGCAGGTTTCTTTCCACATCTCTTTCGAACACTTCCAGTGTTCTTCCACACAGGTTTCTTCAGGAATGTTCCTCGATATCTCCCACTTTGTCTTGGTGGATGACTGATGTGAAGATTCTCTCTGTAGTTTCGTCCTTCAGTTTCCGAGTGTTATACTTGAACTATGGTCTATCACCAGCTTCCTTGAAGGCTTTTAACTTGGTTTGGAAGGTTCCTTGCACTAGATAATCAGTGTTGTGAACCTACATCTGCTTCCCTTCTTGATATTGTGTCAAGTAGGCTGACTGCGTCTCCACTTTCTTCACACTGCGATGAAGTCGATCTGATTTTTAGTGCGTCCATGTGATGAAATCAAATCCATGTTGCATTGTGAATATCCTTGTGTTTGTACACACTGCCTGACTCGAATCAACAAATTGTTGAATGTACAGAATTCTGCAAACAATTCTCCATTCTCGTTCATCACCTCACCTAGCGCTTCTCAACCCATGATGAGTTCTCTTCCTTCATGTGTTGTCCGCTCCCAGTTTGGCATTCATGTCACCCCACCCATTAGAATTTTGATGTCACCAGCTGGGGTGGGGTCTTGTCCAGTGTTGATTGCAGTTGTCTGTAGAATTCCTCCTTCTTCTCTTCATCTGCTTTATTTGTAGATGCATAGCGTAGCATTGTATGCTTGTGACTTTCCTTCCTTTTGAGTTAAACCTTGCTGTCATGATCCTGATGCTGGAGGAGATTGGTTTCCAATGTATGAGAGAGAGCCTTCGATGCTCTCGGAAACATCATGATAGCCACTCCAAAACTCAGTGTGCTCGTAGTTGTCATCTGGGTCACAATATTGGAGTAGATTACTGACTCTCTAGTTGACAGTTTGTAGAGTCCACTTCCATTCCACCTGCTTTCACAGAATCCTAGCACTTCAGTGCTATACCTTCTCATCTCGTTTGCAATCTGGGCAGCCTTGTTAGGTTCAAACATAGTGCGGACATTCCATCTCCCCATGTTTACTTTCGCTTTCATCGAGAGAGAGAAGACACATCGGCCGATTGGTTTCCTGAAGGCTTTCACCAGCTGGCGTCATTTCGCCTCTCCGAATCCAGTGAGGAATAAGTTTGTTTATATTTTTTATATTTTGTCTGTGCTTTGAAGTTTCTGTAGTGGTTGGATTAGTTTTACTGGTTAGGGTTGCTAGCCCTATGCCCAATCTTCCCTCTTTATGGGGGCTTAGGACCGTCTAGTAACTAGTGAACTAGTTAACCAGGACAGGTTGAAAATTTCCATTAGCGCTTCATAATGTTTTGTCGAAATATTTTACAACTTCATGCTTGGAACCTGAATGTTTTATTAAGAAACGGTAAGAAGTTACTTGTGACTACTTTGGCAACAAGTAATAACTTAATGTCTATTACAATTATGTGAATTTACCTCAAACCATTTTGGCTAGTATTTGTCGAATATGGCCTTTCAGCAGAGTTTAACACATGTCAATCATTTAGTCAGTGGATAACATCATTGGACGTAGCATTTTTATATGACAATGCACGGAGGATAAACGTTAAAAATATGCAGAGGAAATGTAAGCAAAAGTCACACAACTTTCCAACCAAAGATGAACTGATAATAACGAAATGTGATATAACGATTATAAGGAAAACAATGTGCTGACACATGCACTAATACAATGCAACGTAAGCCATACCACCTATAGTTATCAGCCATCAAATTTAGTACTCTGCATTTCGTACGGGGTCCGCAAACTAATGGTCATAGGTTATGTTTGAAACGATGTCAAGCTTTAGTCTCATCAACCTTAGGCGTTTTACAACTTTACCATACTATAGTGAATAGACTGCTTCAGAGAAAAACGTGGATTGGCTTGAATAACACATTTCTCATCTACCTAGTTTGTTAAGGGTCAGAAACTTCAGCATCTCTTTGATGCAACGCCTTACTGCTTACGTATACTTAACTGATGTAGTGGTTCCGCATCATGGCCTGTGCTACTTAGGTAACGGTTGTCGAACACATGAAGCCTTACCTCATTCTCCAACCTTAATGATCGTATTTAATAATCGTATAATAAGACCGACTAACATAACTGTGACATCTACGTACTCTAGGTTGACTTAGGAGTCTTCTATGGTAAAACTTATCCCTTTGGAGTTCGATGAGGAAACGGAATCGTCCATAACCACGTCTATGAAAAAAATTCTAATAAGATTGAAGACAGTGGACATCCTTAACGGATACTTCTGCGCTTACATAACCCATCTGACTCTTGCAACAGACTTTATTACACTCTTATGGGTTAGAATATAGAACCTTCAGAGAGTCCTGCAATTAATTGGCACCTCCTTCACTGAGAAGGGCTTCAATAAAACCCATTGATGAGTGAAGTCAAATTTAGCCCTAAAGGTCAAAATACTGACTTGGTTTCTGGTTTCGATAAGTGTTTCACTATTCTTAGACCTGATAAAGGTGAATGAATGATTCGCACACTAATGATCAGATCTGAAACCTCTCTGATTTGTGTGGGTTTGTTGTTCTCAAGCTTTAATTAAATGCCTGATGAACAAAGATATTTTGGCACCATATTAGAGTATTATTTTACTATATTTCGTAAACTAACTATAAAATGCCGTTGTGAGCACTTGTTTCTGAAAGCCTACAGCAGACTTCTATTCAACTGCATAAACGCCATAAATCTCTACCGTAATTTCTTTTGTTATTACTATTTTAGGAACCAGCAATTATGTTTGATATACCAGATTGTAATTTTGGTCTTATGCGTCTAAATGAAACGGTTAGACGGAAAGTAGTACTAACAAATACTTCCCCTTCATCAAGAAAGTGGTTCTTGAAACTGGACAATATGGTTGGTAGGGTAAGACATAAAAAAATGACAGAATGTTTTATTATATCAATATTGATATTAATACCATTTTTAATAGCTGACTTTCCGACTACTCACATCTAACTATCAACTCAGTGAAATCAAATATTCTTAACATTTCCTTACGATATATCATTTTTCAACTATCTCATATACATGAATACACAGTTTGGAAGCAGATTTGTTGAGAGGAATCTCTTAATTCAATATCTTCTTTTTGATGACTATTCTAAAAACTTGGTCCATGAATTTTAATTGTTAATTAGGAATTGAATTCTAGATAAATTAAGATCTAGTAATTGGTTCATGTAGTGCTTAAATGGGGTGAAGCTGAGTTATCCCCAGGCGTTATTGTGTTCTGTATGAAAATATGCATTTCCTGTGTTTTGAAAGCATATATTTTAAAGTGAAAAGTGCAATCATAAATCAGTTTTGCTGCAGTTTGAAGTCTCATTCAACTCAGTTTAATTTGTGAGCATCATTCTTCACAAAGAAATGTGCTTACATCCCGACTGGGAGGTGGAAGTGCGACCAATAATTTGCTCATGAATAAACGGCATGAAACATGATTCAATGACAGACAGCATTTTAAAAAAGTTACAATATGCATACGGTATGGAGAAAATACACGAATTTGTTCAAATAACGCTATATCCCATAACAAGTATAATAACACCTTGGGATAACTTTTAGCCTCACCGCTTAAATGTTATAGCGTTTCTTGAAGGACTAAAGTGTGTGCATAAACAGGTTGGCTGAAGACAATTTCTGTTATGCTACAGTTGTAACACAATTTTCAAGTTCACCTTTGCTTACATTTAGAAGACGAAAGAAGTAATAACTGTTGGAAATGTTTCATAAGCTGAAAGGTAGTAAAACTGGTGTTAGCTAATGGCGCTACCAAATTAGGTTTTGAGTAAATTAAAACACTTATATATTTCATTTTGGATGTTTGGAGGGATTCATTTATTGATTTCATGTTGGCATTCATCACAGTTTGACACCAACCGGCAAACCATTTGAGACTATAGAGGACTTGACAGTTGTTTCGTCAATATGTTAGATTCCTCAGTAGTACACACTCACGACCTCACCAAGGATCGAACCCAAGTCCTTCAGGTTCCGCGACTAACACGTTACCATTGAGTCACTGGCCTGTAGTCCAACTGGTGGCATTTCTTACTCCTGTCAGTTACTCAGCGACGTCATTGGATGGAGGCAGCGCTATATCGTGAAGTGACAAAAATAGGAAATATAGACCACTCGATTCCTACATAGTAGCTCGGTGGTAACCTGATGGCCACAGATTCTGAGGCCCCTAGATTCGATTTCTAGAGGGATAATATATGCACACTACTGGAGAGTTTCACACTAGGACGAATCAGCTGTCCACTACTCCAAAGCTTCAAGTGGTCCCCCCAACTGATGTCAGTCCGTGATGTTTACCAACCCTAAATATTTGTTAATATTCATGAATCACTTTAGTTTAATCTCATAGTAGATATTACTATCCGTCTAATGAAATATATTTTTCATTTGAGTGGATATAAAGTAACTCAAGATTGCTTCAAGTGAAAATGCAATCGGACTGTTCACTTCTTCCAAAAAAAGCTCTTCATATGTGGCTTCATGTTACATCAGTCGATCAGGATTTCCACCATCAGACCATTGTAACTTCAAGAAAAGAATGATTTGGATACCCTTCGATAAAAATTATCTCCTAACTAGCCGTCATTCAGAACTTACTAATATAAATCATAAATGAAAACGCATTTGTGGTTAATAAATCAAATATGATGTATAAATATATATAGTAATATTTTGTGCTGGTTACTGAAAGTGCCTTACGAAATATTTGTCCTTAGTATAATATCATGAAAGTATTTTGTTGTCTGAAAAGATGAATTTTGGATCACAGTCTAAGTAAAATCTTTCAATTACTGGGCTTCAAATGAGACAAAATTCTCACCCTACATTCTCGTGAGATAGAACAGCATAGAATCTTACACACAAGTGCACTAGCTTGTGATGGCACAGAAAGTAGATGCACAAAGGTAAAATGGCAACGAAGTTAGTGAAAGGGATATCATGAGAGGGATAATAAACAAATGAAAGTTCGTAAATTGTTTGAAATTTGGAAATGATGAACGCTGAATCTATCCAAGTAACATCTAACCATTTAAAACTGTCATAATATTCAGCTGAGAATGTTGACCATCCCAACTGAATAACAAAGTTTTCTGACATTCTACATTTCCAAAACATTCTAGAAGTACCATTTAGCTTTGTGACTGATTTATTTACGAAATATGATGATATATTTACTTTGTCAAAGGCCTATAGTACTTGCAGATGAAACTGGATTGCATAAGCCAATTCAAAGCTAATTTAGTCATCCAATACCCATTAGTGACTTGCTGTAAGTTGAGTTTCTCTAATTTCGAATGAGAAGTTGTTACCTGTGAGGTTAATGATATTTAGAGTTAGGTGGATACCCATCAGTATCATTAGATAACGGTCATACTATAACGCGAAGTGATAAAAGTGGAAAACAGTTTACTATTAAACCCCTAACTGTCGTTGGCCTGATTTCTAAGGAAGTCCTGGGTGATGATTGCTGAGGAGTACCCAAACAGACAAACAGATAAACTTCCAAATATCAGTAACAGAATTATGATCTTTAATTCCTTTTTGTTTATGATTCATGTCTACAATGTTTCTCGAAATCATTTGAAAACTTATAGGTTTTTCATAATTTATACTGACACACCTCCAGGATCAGGAGTTCATTTAAACGTAATTATTTTCCGATCACAGAGATACAACTTCTGATGGTGGTTTGGTGTTCTCTGAGCTTTGATATTTCGTCGTGAACGTTTGATCACTAGGCTTAGTAACATCTTCAGAACTAACTTCAGAGTACACCAAACCACCATCATCTTCATCCTGAGCTACAATTTTTTTCAAATCATTTCCGATTCATCACCTGTTGTGCTGTACATATAGATAAGCTTCTCTAGTCTTTCGAATGCGATCTAACGTTAGCCTATAAATCGTGTTACGACTATAACGTAAGAGAAATCATCTTCAGCTAACCTGTTTATGCACACACTTTATTCCTTCAAGAAACACTACAACATTTAAGCATTACATGAACCAATTACTAGATCCTAATTTATCTAGAATTCAATTCCTAATTAACAATTAAAATTCATGGACCAAGTTTTTAGAATAGTCATCAAAAAGAAGATATTGAATTAAGAGATTCCTCTCAACAAATCTGCTTCCAAACTGTGTATTCATGTATATGAGATAGTTGAAAAATGATATATCGTAAGGAAATGTTAAGAATATTTGATTTCACTGAGTTGATAGTTAGATGTGAGTAGTCGGAAAGTCAGGTCTTACCTAGGTCTCATGCTATTTGTAGGTCAGAAGTAAAGTGTACGTGTAACTTCTGAAATTTTATCTCACTTCGGTTATTGAAACTAGTGTCATCGATGAAAAGTAGTTTTACTCCAAAATCTTATGTAAGCCTATCTAATCAATGCTTAGGGTACGTGTCTTAGATAGCAAAAACTACTAACGACTAACTCTAAAAACACTAAATACAAAGCTTGATGATTCTGCTTTTAATCTCACTACTGACATCTTGGGAGTTTTACAACAATAATTCCGTTGATTCCCTTACTTTTGTAACATGATAGCCTTAGTTAGTTATTTCATCGGATGTTTCTAGACGTTCCCGGCAGGAGTTTACAAGTGTTTAGTGGATAAAGCCAGAATAATATCCACTTTGAATTTAACTTGTAAAATAGCTAAAAATATCTAATGCTTATAACAATAAGAATGAGATTACCTGAATACCTTTAAAATCTATTTGAAAAACTATTGAGGCATTTTATGATTTAAGTACTTGAGATATATGTTGACTAAAATTTTTTAAACCTTGTATTTTCCACTATCAGATTGCATCTGAAATCGAAATAAGTCCATCCAGTGGAATTTTGAAACCATTTCAATCAGTCACTGTGAATTTGTCATTTACACCACAGCTATCAAGGAGTGTTCGTGAAGTTATTTCAGTGCAAACGGAAGACACCGAAGAAATAAGGTAAGTATTACTTTACTTTCAAATCACTGATGATAACTTTATTGCTACTGTACCTTTGCGATAAATATTAACCCAACTGACTAAACTAGCTGTTACTAACAGGCACTATAAGGTGTATCATAACTAAAACATTTGAATATTATTTAGTAGTATCTAGAAAATGAATCCATGGTTCATATTTCATCTTGTTTTGGAACCATCAATTGAATATACTTTATTCTGAAAAAGAGTAAGAATATAAAGTCAAAGGAAGGTAGCAGAGAGAAACTACCATAAGAACCAGGCTGATATATCAAGATAAGTTGAAAAATTCAGTTTTCAACATGAGAACATTTGAAAAAAATGAAACCTTGACATTACTGCATAACATTTCCAACTCAACGAAATTGATCAAGCACTTAAATATGAATAAACTTTAAGCGATAGAAGACTGGAAACCGGACGTTTAGTGATAGATAGTTAACTAAATGTCTTTCGATAATTTTACCAATGATGACCTAACTTGTTTCTTATTTATTTTCTAGTTTTATCCTGATTTTAGTACAAGTGCGTAATGTAAACCATGTGGGCGTTAAATGGACTAAGTCGTTTATCGAACTAATGAGTTTCTATACAAAAAAGAATTTATAAACTGCGTCCACCAAAAGGAATAATTCTTCCATAGTTGTTTCCCAAAAGATCGCCCTCATGCCCCAGTGACCTAGTAGATAGCGCTTTACGTTTGAAGCACTGGGCAAGGAGTTTACATTTCAGCGGGAAAACCATCACCTACTGGGGTGCAGGTACATCCAGCCTTCGAGGCCCGAAATAGCTGAAACGCGTGTCTTGAATTCCACTCCTAGTCACCAAGAAGCTTGTTTCAAGCTTCATTTCAGTTCATCTTAAGATTATCATTTCTATGGGATTGTTAAAATTTGATTCACTATATGAGGATATATAAATGGTGTTTGACATATAAAGACTTCAGGCTTGTCAGTCAGCCGAGTTGTGTAAAATAACTTATAGTTTCTTAGGAAGGAGATGGATAGTCTTTCCAAAACCTAGCCAATGACTGTATATTAGTAAGTGTCACTAGACATTTCTTCTTTTAGACGTTATGTTGAATCACATCCTTTGACTGATTTCCATCAGCTACCAGCCGAATTCAGAAGTAGAATGAACAATTTATAAGTGATTTACAAATTACACAGGCCATGTGAACACTTTTCACAACTGAGTAACTTTTCAACTACCCAACTATAGTATCAGCAAGATTTCCGCTGGAAACCACCAAACTAAGATCAAAAGGTGTGGTCTCTGAAACAATAATGTCATGAAATAGCGAAAGATACTACTACTGAACAACTTGAGTAGTTAGAAAGCACTCCGGCTGATCTGTAATATTTCGCCAGCCATATCAGAGTGATCTAAACATTGGATAGCCATTTCATTCGTTTACAAAATGTCTGTTCGGTTTAAAGTATACCATTTCATACAAGTTAGCTGGCTAGATTCAAGTGATCTGAAGCAGTTCAGCTCTGTGAGCTGAATTTATCCGGTTAGATCACTTATGAGCCTGGCCTCAAACGAGCGAAACTGCCATCCATTGTTTAGGTCCCTCTTATCTGAATGGCAAAATATTACAGATTGGCCTAGGCGGTTTCTAACAACTCAGTTTGTTCAGTAATAGTATCTTCCACTATTTCATGAATGTGGAAAGCTTTTTGCTTTCTTTATTGATGATCAGGGGGATCCTACTTTAAGTCATCAGGTAGATAAAGATAGATCGGCATCCTATCTTTTAAAATACTAAATATTTCGATTAAAATGTTAAGCTGAGAATGAAATACATCAAAGGGTAATTTATGAAACCATTGGTTACGTCATGTGCTATGAGAGGATTTCAAACTTTCGAGTATCTTGTTTGAGAAGGCACTTCGTTGACAAGTTAATATTGATTCACAAGAGACAGGGCTTCAAGCAAAGGGTTATTTTTTTCAGTGACTCATTCTTAAGCTATACAAATCAGTCCATGAGATTGTCAGGCTTCGTCGGCTGACGTGGCTTGGACATGTGCTGCACATGGAGAGCCACCACCTACTTCGAATTGCAATCCTTAGGAAAGTTTGAGTAACTTTAAGGGCCACCCTAATGATTGTTAAACTAACTAATAAAACTTCAGAAGTTCAACTGGGAAGGCAGTTTTTCATGGAGTACAGGAACCTAACTGGTTATCTCACCAGTTGCTAATGTTACCTTTAAAGTCATTCGGGAGGTTGAATTAGTTTGGAAGAGGGTTCAGTGTGACTAGACAAAATGTTGCAGAAGTCTGTGAAGCTCCGAACTGTTGGTCTGAGCTGCATGGTGAAGCATAGGCTACCTGGGTGGGGTCCCGAAGATGACAGAAATCAGCGTATGAGAACCCTTGGTGAAATGGATGAAAACTAGCCACAACGGTGTAGGTGTATTCACTCTTTGACTTCTTCTAAAGTCTTGAACGTTTTGACTAACCTTAATTTTTAAGATTTCTCTTCCAGTATACACCTCGTTTTACCCTGATATCAATCTTGCCCAGACACTTGTTCTTTGTATACTACTATGAAGTGTGGCAACTTGAACCAGTATACTTATGTGCAAGGTTCTGTATTGATTTTATCTGTCTGTCTACGTATTTACAACGTAAAAGGAATACTTCCTAAAGTGTCTTAAGGAAATTCCCATTTTCTTTATTAAATAACTGGAAATCCTAAAAAGAATTAAGGCATACAAAAGTAGCTATTTATTGAAGGCTTAAGCAAGATTAAGTAACTAGGCTTTATGATGTAATATATTTCAAAGAATGGAGTACATTTCAACAATGAAAAATTAGACTTATAAGTTAGAATACAGACAAAATCAACGTTGAACTTCACACTCATGTGCTTTGATTCAAGTTGCCACAAGAGGTAGAAGGATGTGTTATAAAGAGGGAAGGTGTATTAAGGTAATAAGGACACGAAAGAAAACAGTTACAAAGGAGTAGAATCTTTACAGTAGGTACGTCTTTTGTACGTCTAATGACTAAATAAACTTCTTTTGTATTCAGAGTTCAGGATTCAACATTTAAATCGCCATGGCTTTGTAGTGTGAAGAAATTGTGTTCGTCGAAAAAAAAACTTTTCTCCTCCGAATTGTCGCTTGTCAATTGTTTTTTACAAGATTCCCACATACTCCTTAAATGACAGTGAAATTAGACTGTAGGTCTGTCTGATGGCTAGAATCTATCAAATATTCAAAAACTTTACTGTGAGCAGATCTTTCTCTCTTGTAAACTTAAGATGGTATACGTTTAAAAATGCATTTATTTTCTAAATAAGAAAGTATTTTACGTAATAATAACCATTTTGTTTAATTTTTACATCTCACTTTCACTAGTAAACTCCTCATATTAGCTGAAGTTCAAACTCCACTAATAGATTTTGAACCAAATCATGTTAATTATGATCAATGTTTTTGGAATATTCCTATCACTAAGATGATAACTGTTACCAATTTGAGTTCATTGGAATTTGATTTGGAATGGATGGATGTGAGTAATACATATAATTATAATAAGTATGCTTGATTCAACATTCTTAGTGTTTATAACCTTTTAAAAGATGTATATAGCATGTTAGCAATTTTTAAATTTTGTCAACTCACTTTTAGTATACTTGTTTAATTCAATGTTTCAACATAAGTAATTTACACAATTTTCTTAGCTCTGTTGAAACGACCCACCTATCATTAAAAAGAGACTATATACTATCTAGTGATTTTGCCGAAAAGCTTATAAATTCAAGCAGGATATAAGAAATACACTACTGTCTGAAATAAGTAGTTCTAGGCTGCTCACACCGATCAACAGTGCTCACCAAGTTATCTAAACGTTATGTGATCTGAAAACTTTAGCTTCCATAGGAAAACATGGTGAGATTTCTCACTATGGACTATGCATCTTGCAAAACAGCTGATTAGATTATAAATTTCTGCAGATGATTTTTGATCATAATATGCGTGAAAGTAAATAAAAAGACAAATGGATCCATCTTCATTATATGACAACCGAATTTGTGAACTGAAAGAAAAGTAGATTGTTATTTACCAGCTCACAGGTTGATAAGATAAAATTCAACAACTAACCAGTTGACATTCTTCACTGAATAGGATTTTCTGAATAATAATACAGTAGTTATTACCTCTAAGGTGGTATTCCATTGTTTTCAGCCAAGGTTATACATGAAACACTAAAAGCCTAGAAGTAAACTATTGAAGTTTATTGTCTAGGAAGTACTGTTAATGAGGAATATAAACAAACTAACATTCATTAATTCTTAGCATGAAATAATTATAATTACAATCATCAACTGTGGTGCTTCCGGTGGAGGGGTAGAACCGCCGAACCAGTTAGAAGAAAAAGCAGTGAGAACCAACTCGGCAGTCCCTGAAACGAGCTAACTAGCCAAGATAACCGAGAAATATAAGTACAGAAATCAATCATAGAGATCAGGATAGCCTATTAGAATAAAGATCTTGAGGGCAAAACCGGTAGACATAGAGACAGCAATTCAAAAATGAAGAAATCAAATATCACTGTTTGACTTTTGAAAATAAATTAGTTAAAAGGATTTTGTTCGTGGAATTGATTTTTCTAAAGCATAGGCAAGTGAGACTGACAAGAAGTACAGAGAGCAGAATTGAGTGGATGGGTAATAGGCTTGTATCATAAATACAAGTTGTCATGGCGTGAAGATTGATACATAGGAGATAGACATATTGAACACATTCACAAGTAACAAGATTTTTCAAAAACTGATAAGTCTAGATGACTCCATTATCTTAGCTGAGACTGAATGTTTTTCTTACACTGTTTATACAACTCAACGTTTGGTTACTGGGTCGTCGTCAGTATTTTACGTAATTATGATCAGCTGGGAACAGAATCCTTGGTTTACTCCAAAACCGTTATGTTCACAAATGAGGAAAGCTGTAACGATTCCATTAAGAATATTCTCCCGTACTCGTGTTGGCTTAAGAAAATTTTTTACATATATGTGTAGAATCTAAATAAGCAAATACACAAAGTAGGGTGACTTTCTAATGGCTGATTACTCTTCCCATTTCGCTGAAACAATGAAGCTAAAGAGATTTCCAGTTTCTGAGCTTCCGTGAAGGTTAGTTTAAACTCAATATTGAGGAGACTGAGTAATCAGTTTATTAGAATTATTGTTTTTGTTACTACATCTTCAATAAAAGTTCTATCTCCCTAGTACAGTATCGATTCAGTTTGCAAACAGTTGATTTACGATTAGCAATGATTTTCACATTGGTTAAGAATGAATACAGTCACGCTGAAACAAAATGCCTCGGAAAATATTTCTGTCAACATGACAGCCATTTTGAGTTGTGTTCAAAGTAATGGTGCATTAAAAAGGGTCTGAAGTATCAAACTTTGTAGCAATCATGTTACTCTTATAATCTAAGGTTCCAAACCCAATGAAAGATTTCATGAATATAAGTTGAGCTACTGACTAATATTAAGTAGCATAAAAATATTATAGTTGAGAATATGAATGTGTTTATTAGTTCTAGCAATTACACACATAAAAATCAAGTCTTAAAAGTTCATTTCTCACCAGGATATAGTAGTTGTATTGAGCGCTGAAACGAATAAAGGGATACATTCCTTATTAGTTGGCAAGAAAGTTCATAATCGAATATGGGATCTACAACTTCCTGGAAACATTGATCGTCACTGATGACACTACACGGTCAAGTATTCTGACATTACTTATGTATGTTCTCAGCAGACACTCAGCGGCTTTTGTATGTTGATATGGGTAAGGGATGAGATACGTCCATGCCCCCAATAAAAGCAAGTAGTTTTTAAAGAGACTATACATAAAACATTTGACTTGAATTTGAAATCACAATCTATTGTAGTAACGTTAAAAGCTTCCTTTCTGATGGTAACCATTGACTAAAGTAGATTCATACGCCACTCTTTTCTTTTTCATTCTGAATTGTGTGTGTGTGTGCACCAAATAATAGTAACAGTTTCGCAACCACGTAACAAGATTCGATTTAACCAGTGAAGTTGTTGCGAGCACGAAACGTTGCTAGAACAAATGCAGTTTACGATTTGATGAATAGAGCATCCACGATAGAGACTGTGGGAAATTTCCCTCATGAGGGCATAATGAATAGAAAAGTACATTTTATCTATGAGTGCTTGTTTAAGGGCATTTCTATACGGGGATAAAATATAAGGTCTCACTAGCATAAGTCTACTAGCCAGATAGATATAAGTAGTACAAACTAATGAATCAGTCTAATAAAACTCACTATGTGTGGATTTCCAATAAAGTCCCAATCTCTCTAGACAATTTTCAGCTATACACTATGCAGTCTTTGCTTTTCATCTTTACTTCAGAATCAAACGGTTAGCAAGTAGGATGATTCTGTGACCTGGTTTTTATCTATTTTTTTTATTTCTAAAGACAATGAGGTCCAAATTTGCATATAACGGTTACAATTCTAATGTGGTCAAGATACAATAATATATATGATCATTATTGGACGAAACTTATCTTCATAACAGACTGGAACTAACAGTAACGTTACAGATTTCTGTTTATTGTTTAGTCCAGTGGTTTTAAGTACCTGACAGTGGGTATTTGTCATTGCAACTTCCTATTTATTGTTTATCTTCATAATAAATAGAAGTAAATATGAATATTAAAAGTGTAATTGTTTTCCTTCCCACCATTCTCGAAAACTTTCAATAGCCTGTTGGAAACGATAAAGAATGGGTTACTGTAACCATAACACCTAAGTGTTGCCGAATGAGTGGTCAACAAGTTTGGAATTTGAAGTCTCATTATGTGCACAGAAACAGGTAACTAAGTAGCTATCGTTTCCATTGATATTCTCCTACCTTGGGAGTGCATTTATTTACAAATCAAAACTCTAATTTCTGTCAAAATCCTTTATGGAAATTTTTTGAATTTTTAAGATTGTTCTGTTATGCATTTCGCTCACATCTGGTAACGCAACAGTTACCAAGATGTCAAAAATGAAAATCTCAGCATATCATTTATCACTCTGTAGTAATGGACCTTTAATAAGGAAACTAATTTCACCTTGTGCACCACACCCTTTCAATTTCAGTCTTCCCGTCTGGAGGCTAATCTAAAAATGTGAGCGATTCATACATATGTTTAGTAAAGATGCCAAAAACTTGGTTTGTGATGGAATTCGAATTTACGCCTTCTGGAAATCCCAGCTTTGCTCCCACTGTTTTGAATATCTTAGTATTCTTAAAAAGCCACTCGTAAAAGAAATTAAAACCTGTTTCTGTTCTCATTTGAAGTATATCCATCTTAAGAGTAGTTTTAATTAAAGATTGGCCTTAAATTTGATAAAGCATGTCAGTGATATTCACTTTCATGCTATTTACCTCAGGCCATATCTGGTTTCATGTAGATTAGTTTTAATATGACCGCAGCGTGTTTAGAATATTTCTGCTGAAGAAGCTGTGGCATACACAGCGAAACGTTCAGAAACATCTTATTTTCGATTTTCCAAACACTTGGATTATATCAAGCCTATATAATGAAGCAACCTGACTCGGCTCTCAACTTTCAGATCGTTCGTAACAACTATGGCCTGGATGTTTATAATCTGGTCACGCCTAGTTTTATTTCAAAACAGGGTAGAAAAACTAATTGAACATCGTCGGTTACTGGTAGAGGGCAGACCTTACCAGGAGCATTAGAATGCATGAGTTGACTGGTGTCTCATTTTGGCTACTCACGAAAACGACAATGAACTGAGACAAGGTGTGTATTAGTGTTCTTTCTCTGTACCATTAAAATGTGTTGCAATGTGAATTGATTTTTGTTAATTAGCATGATCTATAACTACCAACAAGAGTGTCTATTCAGTCTTTTTTCTCGCTTATACACTACCTTATTACCCTTATTCTTATGTTATTGCATCCATTGTGATAACTTTGCTTTTCTCTGGAAGTAAGATCGGAATCCACCTATCAACCTTTGCGAATTCACAAGTAGGCAGTAAGACAGGCCTACTGTATTAGAGCTAATGATACCATCTGGCTACCCAAACTTCGGTAGATGGAGCAGTGCTTAAATCTGAGATCCACTCCCTAAACTCATGAGCCATAAACTCTAAACGAATGATATTCATCCTAGATTTCTTGAAATGTTTGAATACAATATATCGATGTGAACTGAATACACGAAGCATAAGAGAAACAGTATGTTGCAACCACTGATACCATTGATGAGTAAAATGTCAGACACCTTCTGGATTTCAGGAGTAAGCAAATTTATGAAGAGATGTACAGTGACGTTTATTGATCGACGTGCATACAATTGCCAAAATGTTCGGTGACAGATCTGTAAGAAAACCTCACACTTAGGTATGTCGAAGGATACGATTACAGTTATAGTCTGCAAAATCAACAAAATGTCTGTTCACTTCTCTCTGGTTCTCAAATACTTCCTAGACGATATCGCTTGATAATGAAAATTGTTTTAGAATCAAACTGTTTTTCATCTAATCTCTCATTAATGAAACTTTTTTCAAAACTTATTATCAGCGAAGATATAGTACAGAAAGTTGTTAAATTCTAATCATTATCCATCTTTGCATAATATCAGTTTAAAAGTTGTTTCAACTCCTCCTTATTCATAACCTAAACCATTTACTTACGGTGAAAATGTTGACCTAAAAAGGTGAAGTCATTTCAACAAGATAGATTTTCATTAGCCAGTGTGGAAATTGTTTCTTGAAGTAGTTATGCACATATTAGTTTAATGGTGGTAGGAAATAGGCTGTTGTGAAAGAAAGATGTCTCCTTTATGTTGTGTAATTTCTATCAATCATAGTGTTTTAAACTTTCAGTTAAGTTACTGACAATTATTTTAAAAAATTCACAACAACTTAGCATTTACATCTATACCTCTTAAAAAGGATCACTGCTAAATTTAAAAAAATTTTATTTTAACCTTAAATAAGTTGATTATCTGCAAAGAATAGCAACAAGTAAAAACATTTCTTTTAAGCATAACTTTTTATTAGCTTAAAAGTGTATCTTATTTTTATTATGTGCAGGCTCAGGCTAATGACCTTCGGATTCCATTACGTGTAAATGGACTGAATGAATTGCTTTGGTTACCTATTACAGCTAATGTTCATGGAGTTTCATTGAAATACTGTTTACTCAATCAAGAAAGCATGTATGTGTAATTCAACCTGTTCCATTGCTCTGTAATACTTTGGTTGAGATAATTTTGAAATTTCCGAATATTTCATAGTTGACCCTTAAGTATCTCTATTAAAAAAAATTTTGATTCTTGCATTATGTTTATTGTAATACTCTGCACGAATGACATTGTACATTTTGGAAAACATATGGAGGAGAAAATGATGTGTCCTTGGTCACATACATACGAGTGAACACTTGAACAATAACCTCCTGCTTCCACCTTTGATGGTCCCTCAGTTCCTTAGTAGATGGAAAGGCGATTAGATAACAGTTGTAGTGAATAGTTCAAATATGTACCACATACAACAATTTATGCATACTAACAACGGCTTTGACTATTTCTAGACATAAGATAAGGCATATCCTAGTGATTTCGCCTCTTCAACTAGTTTGATATTTACAAGTAGGTTTATGTGTTTTTGTCGAAACTTTGAAGTAACATGGTTGGTTGTGAAAGGCTTCAAATACTTCAAGCTTCTTATGATATTCTTTGCAATTTTATCGCACACTGTAACAGAAAAGGTCACAGACAAACATCCAAGTAGAATATTATTTGATTCTATTACCTCATTGACTCTTCTCAGCTCAGTCTAACCTAATTTATTTAAAACATCGAATTACAATCAAATTGTAACATATTGTGTCACGAGAAGCATTTCCAACAAACCACAGACATACATCATCAACAGCTGCCACAAACGCTCGCTCGATACTGATGATCAGATGGCCAGAAAGAATAAGGACAAATAACCCTGAAAATGAACCAACAAGAACTTATCGCCCAAAAAATATACAGAGGAAGAAAATGGAGATGGATTGGATTGGGCATACACTGAGAAAACCATTCGGGGACATCACGCGCCAGGCCAGGCCCTCGAGTGGAATCCAAAGACGAAACGACGAGTTGGGCGTCCGAGGCGAGAGTGACATGGGGGAGGTGGTGTGAGAAAGAAATGAAAGGTTATGAGCAGTGGTGGAGCCAGGTAGGATCGACTGCAGAGAACAGGGTGCAGTGGAGGCTGCTACTGAAGCTCTATGTTCCACTAGAAACCCGAGGGAAAAATAATAATAATATAACATATTATAGTTACCTGAACAGAGATTAGTTAGGTAGTAAAGCAAAACAGCATAATGACATGGCGAAAGGGGTAGACTTTACAAACTGCAATAAAGTTGGATGTTAGGTTTTAATGTCATCACTGTGTTCAATTACATGAAGATCTTTATGAAACTCTGAAAAATGCATTATTGTTTTTTCGAAATTCACTAACATCTCTATTCAAGCTCCATTTCTTGAGATCTACATTGAATCACAGATGGTGAGATGGTTATGTTCGGAACTAGCTTATTTGGTATCAGTAATCAGTAGTTTTTATTAGAAATGCCATGGTAAGATGTTTGATACAAAGTTCAGAAAACTGTAATAAAACGTGTAATAGTTAAAATATGCTGATGAAATACGATGAATGTATCACTAATATGAAGTCTATTCTACATGACTCATTTAAATGAGAAATTGACAGCAGAATAAAAACGTGACAGATTCAGCAGAAAAGATAATCATGAAAGCATTCGTAAGATTTTCAATTGATAATTTCTCTTACAACAGAGCGAAGCCTTAAGGATCATTTTTGATCTATATGTATAGTCTTCGTAAGATATATCGAAAGAATGATCCATTAAAACCTATACAGTCAAGTGGTAAGTTACCTCTGTACAAAGCCGCTATTTAAATAGCAGCTGATTCAATGCATTCTAAAAGGTTTATCAAATAGCTAAGCCTATTGTTTTCAATAAGTTTACAGTATCCTTTGAGATAAATTTCTTTAACACATAAGTACCTCATGGAACTACAAAAATTAATTGTCAGCTGTTTGATCTCCTCCTTATACCACATCACGTATTCAAACATATGACTCCAATATATACTGGACATTTTTATTTCTTGGTTGACAACAACCAACATTATCATTTTGACTGAATGGCGACAAGAAGCTTAGTGGTTCGTGTATTAACAATATTTTTGTGATCCACTTCTAGATGACAAGCTGTGAATATGCAATTTATGCAACAACATCTTATTTTAGATTTACTAAGGACACGTTCACTGTCTGTAACACTTTTTACTATTTATCACATTCACTTGGACATTCTGGTGTATTAGTTTGCAACGAAACATGAGGATAGTCCTAGATTTAGATTAAAGTAATTCAGTGTCTAACGTTAAGTGGTTATCAAACTTCAAACATCTATAAAAATGGATGAGAATGACCTCGACATTAGTTTTAACATTTTCTTCCCTGTAAACTTTATATATGCACCGGCTAATGGCCTTCCTGAATCACCCGAAAAATATTTTTAGCTCGTAAAGTGATGATGAACCGTTTCAACTTATGAAAAACCTCAAAGAAAATGGATAATTCAACGAAAAATGCGATCAAATAAAATTCATACAAAAAAACCCGTTAATTTGTTTCAAGCATCTTTATAACTAGTACAAACATAAAACCCCAGGTAGCTCTCATACGTTACCACTAACCCCGGTGTGTTACCTAACAGGTATTTAGCAAACCAGTTATATTTGAAGAACGGAAGGAACGATGAACTTCAGATATTATATACGCGCTCTGAAGAGCCTTTGTTTAAGTTGGTCAAATACTTACAATCTTTCAGTAACTAGGATCCTGGTTGACACAGGACACTAAGTAGATACTTAATAGTAAATCAAGATCATTGAGAGATATAACATTCAAATCTTTGGTGAAGCCACTCTAAACAAACACATCAAACCGGAATAACGCGTTACCTTCAACTTCCTTGGTAAAGTAATCTACTCTCTCTTCATGTAAACGGATTACGTCAATAGATTTTCAATTGATACTAAACCTCAGTATTGATCTTCTAATGTTCTATCCATGTTGCTTGCTGATTGTAACTAAGTCAAATGTATTGATATGCTTACATCAACCCCTTTTCTGATTTCCAGAATATTTTGCTAGCACTGTCAACCCAATAAGATGTATTATTTCTCATTTTTCACTACTATATAACTATTATTCAAACAAATATGTTCAAATTCTACTGTAATTTGTCGCTTTAAAAGTATGTATTGTGCGCAGCTAAATGGAACCGACGAGATAATAAAGCGAATCACTAAGATTCTCTTCAGAAGTCAGTCGATGAAACTGTGAAACCACACAAAGAGATTTAGTTTAAAAATGTGTTGCGTACACTAATTTATCACTTGCCTGGATAAGCAATGTTAGTCAAAGTAAGACTTAGTCTGAAGTAATCTTAAGGTGGCTCAAGCAAGACATGGGACCAATCTATGAATTCTCTGCATACTGGTGTGAGCTATATTCAGAGGTGTTCCCTGCCTGACTAGAGTCTTTGAGATTGTAGAATTTAGTAGTTTGGGACTTGGCGGTACGATTGAAAATTGGTGACACTGGCCGCAGTCACATAACCTGTCACTTACACCGTAGACTTCAGTGAGCTCAACATGCTGTATACAGTCTGATCATTTTCTATCATACGTATGATCATCAAACATGCTTATTTAAAGATGTATAATGCCTTATGTTAAGATAAAACTTAAAAAAATCTTTGTTTACTTACAAGCTTATCGGTTAGAGCCTGTACGTGTGAAACAATAAGCAACAAGCTGGATTCTTTGTATATGTCTAATTAAAAAGATTAGTCAGCTCATCAAGTAATGTTGCATTCTTCTTTATTAGTGAGTCTACTGTATATGATTTCAGAAATTGCTGTGGTTAGTGAATGGCTTTGTTATGATGTACCACTCTTACATAATTTTGATGGGAATGTTATGTTCAACATACTTTCAAAACATTCATCGCACTTCTTTTACATCAACATGGGAGTACCATGTTTGATTTGGCAGGTTCTTGTACAACCATAACTTATCATTATATTAGTCAAATGGCCTCTCAGTTTGCAGAAAATGTTTATGGAGTCTGCATACCAGTGATTGTAGGAGCGTGTTATAATCTTAGGATTTACCTCTTCATCTAATGGGGAATTTTTTTGCATAATGTCAAATGAAGAGAGGCAATCATTTTAATCACGCTTAACTTTTGTATCTAACCATACTATTCTAGAGATCTCACAGATGAGGAATGTTCGTATGAATACCATAATATTACATCAGAGAAAGGAAATACACCACCTGTCTTAGATTTTGGACAAAATGTTGGTTTATTTGAACCAGTGGAGAAATGGATTGTATTTAAAAATTTCACCCCTATCCCGACCAGAATATGTGTGGACATGGGTAATTTATGTTCGAAAATCGGGTATTCTGAGTATGAAAATTATACTTACAAGCCTGAACTGGGTGCTCAGAGATATTTAATAAAGCTTTCATCAAACCAGTCTACTGAAAATGGTTTAAGTAAGCAGACGTTTTTACACAAAGATGAAAGTAAAACTGAGATCAGAAATTTATATGGTATGTTCAATAAACATTCATTAAAATTGAAAACTAGTTTCTCTACTTATCTATGAAATGCCTAAAAGTTAGCGTTGAAAATAAGAAGCTTTTTGCTTACTAATTATTTCAAGATTTATTTTAGATATTCACTTAAAAGTGAAAAACTTGGGCACTGTGGTAGAATGTAGTTCCATATTAGATTTGTTTATTTGATATAAAGCGCACAGTGATACAGTATTATTTAATTGATTACGTTTCGAGCATAAATTATCACTGCTCATAATCATATCAATGTAATCACACTTCTTTCGGTTTAGTCAAATGTCTAAATAACGGAGCTGAGAAACTCACTAGTCATTGTAAGGACTTAAAAAGGAATTGAAACACATAAAAGAAGCGTTAATAATTAATAATTATCCCCATCATTTTATTAAGAATTCACACGGACACATAAGAAGCAAAATAATAACACTAATACAATACAAATAATAGTGACAACATAAGTAGAAAGGAAATCAACACCTCTATTGTGATACCATACAAGGAAGGAACATCAGAAACCATACGTAGGATTCTCAACAAGGTTGGAATTAGGGTGGCATTTAAACCAAAAACTCACTTAGAGGTAAGCTTTGTCGGCTAAAAGATCCGATAGAACCAATTAAGCAAAATAATATAATCTACCAAATTCCATGTAATGACTGTGAAGTCAAATACATAGGTCAAACTAGCCGGTCGGGGTCAGTTAGATTAACAGAACATAGGAATTTAGCTAAACATAGAACGGCAGACCCCAATAAGATCAATAATCTAGAAAAACACTCTGCCATTGCATTACATTCATTAACACACAACCACACAATAGGATGGGACAAAACCACTGTACTTAAGTCTAATATAGCTAGGTGGAGAGAGAGATTAATTACTGAATCTTTGTTCATCGAATCCACACCCAACACATGTAATAGGAATGACGCAACACCTATACCAGAGATATGGAAACTTTACTACCAATCAAAAAACAAAAAACAAAGAGAGATCAGGTGACAGGACTATAAAATCAGGTGTCGAAAGAAGTGTGATTACATTGATATGATTATGAGTAATAATTTATGCTCGAAACGTAATCAATTAAATAATACTGTATCACTGTGCGCTTTATATCAAATAAACAAATCTAATATGGATTCACTTAAAAGAATTATGATTATGACCGCGATTTTAATAATTACAGTCTAACTGCACAATTTAATGAAAAATGATAACGAGTGTTAAATTTAAATCTCAGAGAAATCATCAAAATGGATCAAGGTACACTTGCACTCCGTTTTTTAAATAGGCTAAAAACCACTACTTTGGACGCTGTTGACAACGGTCAATAAAGACATAACTCTAAATTTTACCTAATCTGTGTCATGTCTATCTACACATCATGTTGGTATCAGGTACATGTTCACCATGACATCGTAAGGTTGGAACCTGCCAAGCAGTAAACAGCCGTTTCCCATGAGCGCAAGAATACTTGATTTCATGGACTCATAAAGAATGTTGCACAGAGTTTTCAACATGTAAAAGATACTCAAGCCAGTTATTATTCCGAGTAGAACATAGGGCTTCAGTAACACGTCACCATTTCACTCTGTTCTCTACAGTCTTTTCAACCTGCCCTCACAATAGTCTCCTTCATGTCACCCTTGCACGCCCATGTGAGTTCCACTCGAGGGGCTGGCCTGGCGCGTGATGTCCCCGAATGGTTTTCTCAGTGTATGCCCAATCCAATCCATCTCTATTTTTTTCCTCTGTATATTTTTTGGGCGATAAGTTCTTGTTTGGTTCATTTCCAGAGTTCTTGTTCCTTATTCTTTCTGGCCATCTGATCATCAGTATCGGGCGAGCGTTTGTGGCAGCTGTTGATGATGTATGTCTGTGGTTTGTTGGAAATGTTTTTCGTAACGCGCCAAGTCTCTCTACCGTCACATAGAAACATTGACTTGACTGACATTAGTGTTGAAAAATCGGATCTTGTTCACGCTTTATGCTTAGTGCAGATCTCCACACTGATTTCAGATTAATGGATGAAGGCCTGTCTTGCTATCTTCCCGATCCTGGCTTTGACATCTTCGTCTGTGCCGCCCCTTGTGAATGAGACGATGCTGCCTGCCTAAGTAGATGAAAGAGACAACTTCCTTTACATTTCTCTCGTTGATAGTGACTGGTGCTTGTTGTTGTTGGTTAGGTATCTTCATCATCTCTGTCTTCCCTATGTTCACCTGAAGGAAGTCCCGTCTTGCTGTTTTGCCTTTCCTGTCAACTTGTTAGTTTTCGTCCGTAGATCTTCAAGTTTATGCGACATTAGATATGAATCATCATCGGCAAAATCCAACAGCTATCACCCTCATCTTGAACTAAATCTTCTCTACAAGTTTCTTCTAAATGGTCCAAAAGGGGTGAGGATTCGACACTTATATCTAGCCTAAGCTTTGACAATTTACAGCTGCAAACCTCAACTGAGTATTCAAAAGAAAAATGTAGAAACACTCTTTTTACTATGGTTCATTTATTTATTTATTTATATTTTATTACACGTTTGTTGATTTTCATCAGATGCCAAGTCTTACTGTTCACTGCATTCTATTAAGGAAAACTATTGAGATTACATCTTGTGTTACGTAATTCCATCTCATCCTCTACATACACCCATCGATTAACTTTGACCTTTAATGGTTTATTATAACACTCATAGCTTTCTTCATTGGTATGAATGTCAGTACTGACAAATTCTTGTAACTTAAATAGCTCATTAATAATGCACCTGATTACGTTGGCTAACAGTGCATATTTAAAATTTGTTAAACAAAACAGTTTCCACAAGTTTGCTTATACACATATCTGATGAGTGTAAATAAGCCTAAAACTTACCTTCAGATTATTCTTAAGATTGTTCTCAGTTAACTTATATTGAACTCTAATTTCTTTTTGGAACTGTAGGTATCTTTATGTATTACATTTTCCGGAATACAACAGATGTTTTTACCGCGTACAACGTGTACAATTAAAATGTCATGCTGTTTAAAACTGTATTCAGTTTGTTATTATTTTCTTTTCAGGCTGGTGTAACTTATTACTTAGGCAGTCAAAAGGTTCTTGCGTACTAGCTCATTCAGCTATTTCGTCATTCAATAGTTCATCTGATTTCCGATTAGCTGAATTACACTTGGTTACAACTAATCAATCTTCATCGAAACCGCTGGTTACGCCATCATGGTGTCTTCCTGGATACGGTTATTTGAGATTTGCTTCATATGTGTTGCTAATCTATGGGGTGTATATCAAGATAATATTCGTATTCATATATTCCCAGAATTCGGCATTACAAATGAATCAGGTTTACAGCTTATCGAAATGTCAGTGCGATTCAAAGTAATTGGATGTCCAATTTATTCTGTAGCTACAGGTCACTTTGGTCAATTATCTAGTAAAGCAGTTATGGATAATAAACTGAAGAGTGATTATATATTACCGAAAACTGCTTTACCACTGATAGCAACAAGACAGTTTATACGGTTTGGTAGCACGTTATTTAATGGTCCAACTATGAAACGAAACATTCGTCTACATAATTCATGCGAAACAGGTAAAAGTGTTTATATGCCAATATAACTTGAATGTTAATCATAAAAAGTTTTTTTCTTTCAGTGACCGTTATTTATCTACTCACCTTTCTACATTGATTTCATTTTGACTTACCTTCCGTAGCTGTCAGCACATTTGACTTTAGTTTGATATACAAGACTGACCACGACTTGAGGTTTCTTTTATAGTGACTTACGAAATTTATTTCAGACAGTGTATACTAGAAGGCTTAGACAATCAGAATGCATCAAAAGCGGATAATCTGTTGGTTCAGAACATTGAGTTGTGCTAGTTTCTCAGCGACAATGATCTAATCAAACCTGGAATAAGAAACAACAGTTCCTGTGGTTTTCTTATATATTTCTTCAGGCTATCGAAGTAGATTCAACCACTGCATATCAATCCGATTAGAGTAAAGATTTCCATTTCATAGATGATTCAAATGTTAGTACTTCGATAGAATACTTAATTTCTGAATCTTCAATCAATTTTAATTGCCTAAAGTCAGTGAAACCTTTCGCACTTTCGGTTATCACAAGTTTCTCGATTACAATACAGTCGTTAGTGAAAAACGCCCTGTGTTACAGTTTCGATCACTTGTATGCATTTTCCTTCATGACGTTTCCTGAGTAGTAAGCTGAATTGTAATCAATAAAATCATTGTTATTACTATGGACCTCTTTTCTCAGAAAAATTTAATTAGCGAAGTAAAACTGCTACTGTGCAAATCATGTATTAAAATAAATTTGCTAATAACAACATATTACTGTCTTTATGCTATGATGACAAGTAATACAACTTTAAAATATTCTAGATGTATCTGATAAACCTTCGGTATTTAGGGTACAGTCCAATCCAATTCTTAATATGAAACTTTTATCTCGAATGCATATTTCTATATTTCTATCATATAGTTTCTGTGCATTCTTCCATAAATAGCTGATCTTTTTAGGTGCCGATTGAAACTCTTCTTTTTCAAAAAGTACACAACATATGTAAGAACAAATTCAATGTTCTTCTTATCGTGAAACACCAGACTGTAGCTATGCTCATTGAACAAAGTAGCTTTGATTTGCATCCAGATGAAGTCAGACTCAAATATTTAATCAGTTGACACGAAATGCATACAGTCATCAAGAAAGTTGTGTGTAATGGGTGATCTAAATCTTCAGAAATGTCTTACTTCATCAGTTAGTGTTAAATAAAGTACTACTATAGCTCAGAAACAGGTATATCTGTATAAATCACAAAGCTGCTTGACTGATTTCATCAGATATCTGAAAATGACATTATAATATTAAATCCATATTCAAAAAATTTTCTTTTCAACTACTATTTTGAATTGTAACAGTTTCTAGTCCCTAAACGTAGTCACTTATTGATACAGCGCAAAAATATTTCCGTATCATCAGTACTCACAGGTTGGTTTGGCCCAGAAATTACATATTATTTAGAAAATGTTTTACCGAATCTGTTAGGATTATGCCTATTGTAGTTACTTATATAATTTAGTAGTTGAACCTTCCAAAAACTGCAGACAACAAAAGAGCAGACAATTAAAAGGAGATTGTGGAACGTACTTATTGAGAGGTACCGTCATTCCTTATCAGTTTCATCTACAGTACTTATCAATTACCTGATAAAATATCATCGTACTTTATCTCTTTTCTCTCCAACAGCGATAAGAATAGACTGGCAAATATTTCTGGATTCTGAAATAGAAGAAAATGACCAACTATTAAATTTGTTGTGCTTTATTTCAGAGCCTTTTCAAAACTTATCATCCAGTAAATTAAGTTATGCTCCTTCCTCAGTTTCTGAAAATTTAAAAACCATTGCAAGTAAGTTTAAAACTGCGTATAAATTCTTTTGTCAGTAGACTTCAATGAATTCACACATGTTTATTAATCTTCAGAACTTGGTAAGCATGCAATAGACAGACAGACAGATAAACAATATCAACATCGAGCCTGGCATTAATGTATAACAGAATACGTTGCCACACTTTTATCACCACATAAATGGAGAGTGCATCAAGATCAAATATAAAGAAACAAAGACGAAAGCAACCAAAAGTGACAGAAAGTCATCAAAAGAGTCATGAAGGAGTTGGACAGTACTTTACTTACATTCAGTATGATAGTTAATCTGTTGATAAATCCTCACTATTGAGATTGATTCTGAGTCATATCATCCAGAGTCTACAAACATTGATTTCTGTTGTCGTGCGGATAGCAACTGAGAAGTCTACATTTCAGTGCATGGATCAGGTCAACAATCATCGATTTCATACAAAGGTTTATTTTATCTCAGCCGCCTTCAACTTTCTTTTAGTCTAGACCTCCTTCCTCTGAAGTGTGCAACGAGAACCATGGTGATCAGACATGCGTAACACCTATTCCAGCCACCTGAAATGGTGATGGTTTTCGACCTCGTGAATATCCAGTTACTGATATAGTGACACCACAACACGGAACATGTTACAAAGACAATGACAGACAAATATCTGAAGCTTTTTCATGTCCTCCACGTAAAAGCGGCACTAGAACAGCGTGAACTGCTGCTTAGCAAAACCAAATAAACTTATCAATGAATACTGTCCTTATTATATGGACAGTATGTTTAAAAAATAGCAAGTATCATAACGACAAGTAGTCAATATTGCAAACGTTTGAAAAATCATAACCAAAAATCTAGGTCATTATGGATGGAAGTTAGAAGAATTATGTAAAGTAGACCAGTTTTCATACTCAACTCAACTGAATAGCTGTGCGTATTTATTTTCTTAATCAAATTGTTTGTTGATTATTCAGCCTAAGGTTAGTTGTACAATCAACCAACAGATACTGTAATATACAGCACACTAACCTTCAGAGACACTAAAGTACGTGGACACTTTCTTGTTAGTGCTGCTCGAAATTTATCTGTAAAATTTGAAACCCAGCCATTAATCTGATTGACAGAACACTATGTTGGATAGTATTTTGGTGCTAAACGTTAGTATTCAGTTGACAGAACTCTCTGTTTGACTCATGTGGTTGACTTGGAGTATGAAGACGATAGTGTCTCGCTGGGTGTAGACGCTGACAAAATGCAGACAGAGTCTTCTGGATGTATTGAGCAGAGGTCTGAGTGCATTTGGCATGCGTCTCGCTGACACTTTTCAAATGCAAGATGATGCTGCAGGACTGATCTGCAACTACTTGCAGTTTAATGAAAGGGAGTGACGTGGTGGAATGTGCCGACCACATCAATTACTTGCGACATTGCATCAGCCCAAACGGGTTGGTTTGTGATGAAATCTCAGCTCGTATACAGAAGGCCCATTTGGCGTTCGCCAACTTGCGTCACCTATGGTACCGATTGGTGAAATATCCAGCTATCTACCAAAAGGTGTTTATAATGGACTGCAGTCCGTTGTGTTCTGTCGTACGACTGTGGCACATGCTCATCAAAAATAGAAAAAATACAGCGGTTATAGGATTTCGATCATAGGTGTCTTCGTGACATTGCTCGCGTTAGGTGGATTCACGGCGTCACCAATGTTGAGATCAGGCGAAGGATACTATACAAGACAGCAAGTTGACTGAAGAGGTTTTGAACCTTGGTCGACTGAGATGGCTTATCCTGTACTGCTCTTGTCGAGCCACCATTACCTCGATATGCCATGCTAACGGAAGTTGGATACGCTTGAAAGAGGGTTCATGGTAACCAGATCAAGACCTAAACCAGTCGATGAAGTCTTTGAGTGTTGGTCTGAGTAGTGTAGTAAAATGTTGACTGCTTGATTGAAGTCCAGGAGGGGAGGGAATCATTGGTTAAGGATTCTTGGTGATATGGCTAAGAACCAATCACAACACTGCAGAGGTATTCACTCCTTGACGTCTTCTAAACCATGAATATTATCACTAGGTGTTATCTTTTGCTTACTTATTCCTTTACACAACTTTGATATGTCTTTTTCTATCCACCTGTTCTTTCTGTTCAACTGTGAAGCGTGGCGATTTGAGCTGATGCACTTGTGTGCAAGGTTCTACTTTGTTTGTCACTCTGTCAGTCTGTTTCATTCAGATTTGGTGTACGTTCGCACTTGTCAACAACTTGTATCTTCAAAACCGAAAAAACTTATATTCCCCTGAAAATTTAAACTAGCATTACGTAGTGTTGAATTCAATTACTTAAATATTAAGTTACTAAGGCTTGTGAGCATTCAAGTCAATTTGTAGTAATTCCTTCATTTGTTTTGTGTATATATTGAAAGTGATTGTTTTAAATGTTTTCTAAATGATCACTATGTATACGTTTATGATAAGAAATATAGTAAAAGCTGACACCAAACTCAATAATCGTAATGCTATATGACCAAAACAAAAACATTTTCATGAACAGCCATAATTAACAAACGTGTTACAAAATAAAAAGTTAACCTTGAATAAAATACGTAGTTCATTTTTCTGTTAATTATAGTCAAATTATGTTACATGTGAATGTAACATGTAAGTTGACATATAATCTCGTATAATGTTAACAGACGGTGGCATTATTATTACTATCTCAGTTTAGTTTTCTACTGATAAGCAAGGTCGTTTCGCACCTGTTAAATGTACGACTGGTCTATGCCAACTTCTAGTCTAAGAATAGAGAAGGAAGCGAATAAATGGATTCACCATCTCACTAAAAGACTGTAGTCACTCTCATCGGGTTAGTTTTGTAGTGAAATCTCAACTGAGATACATAGGGTCTGTTCTTTATTTAGTAATTAACGTTACATGACCGACTACCTGTCAAAGGATGAGTATAATGAACAACAATTCATTCTATCCTATTGAATGACTTTGAGATAATAATAACTTTAGTTTTTGACAATAGCATTTCTGATTTGTCGGAGAGTCATCATTTCAGTGACAGGTAAGGAAGGCATTTCAGTCAATGAAGTTGGCGACTCTTTACATTATATCTCAAAATGGATTACGATTTCGCAGATATATACACTCATTTTTATTTTCGAAACTTAAAATATTTACATCCAACTTCTTTTTTTCATCTCCTTTTACTTTGTTTACTTTTACAAGCCCTCATGACATTCTTTTACTATTTGCTATTCTTTCGCATGTTGTTACCAAATGAGGTAACTTAAAGTTAGGGTAAACCAGTTACCCTCTAGGTCCCTGCACGATATATAAGCAGCTGGTTTAGATACTGTCCTTTCAGCTTCAATGACCATCATCTTGTATGCATCTCATGCCCTCAAACGGCAACTATCATATTAGTTTGTGTGGCTTATTTAACAATACTGAAGATCCCTATTCCAGTGTTGCAGCCGAAGGCTTTGAAATCAGATTATTTCCAAAATGTTAACTAGAATTCTACTGAACTATCTCGGAGTTTTTGTCACATAGTCGCAGCACACGACTTATGTTGTTCTACATATTAGTTATTCATGCTGTTGAAGTAAGTCAATGTTGATAATGTATAAGCTAATCTCTGCCTTAAAAAAGGCATATCATGTTCATCTTAAGAGACCCTAAGAGTTTGTAACTGGAAATTAGATCCAGAATATTAAAAAACACTTCTATACATTCTGATTTTCGTTGGTTTTTTTAACCGTAGCAAAATTAAATCTCAAAGTCAACTGAAGATTTCTAATTTATCAAATTTCAACCCCAGTTTATTTCCTGAGTTATCCTTCCACTTCATACATGCAGACAACAAACGTAGTCTGTTCACTAACATCACTTCTCATCATCATTTTTTTCACTACAGACACTCAACACATGAGACATTGCATTCAGCCAAGACTGGATACATATCAATAGGTAAATGCTTATACGACATAGGAAAAGAACTAACCTCCTTAAAAATGAACGTCTTACTGAAAACAGAGAAATCTTGCAGACTGACTATCTATTTGTCGCTACTAATATCAAAGGTAGTGATTGAAGGTTAAGTGAAAATTTGGACCGCTGCTGGATTCGAACAAGCGACCACCAAATGTGCTACCGGACGCAGGCTGGGTCAAAAACCCGATGGTCGCTGGTTTGAACCTAACCACAGTCCGAAATTTTCATTTCACCTTCAATCATCACCCAGTATAATACTAGCCTGCCAAACCACGGCTACCTTAGTCAAAATAATAATGACATATCATTCCATTTCAACGGGGATCCTAAATATTGACTTCATTTCGACAAACAATTGTTTCCAAAAGTACTTCGATTGCAACGTAAAAACCGAAGTGACCTTGAAGACATAAACTTTTGAATTTTCTCCAAGTATTTGTCAGGAGTCACTTTAGGAGTCATCCTAACACTGCCGAGATAACCGGATATTTTCCTGTCTTTTAAGGAAAAGTACCTTCAATCCGGAATGTTGAAACATGATTGGCTATTTCTACAGTTGCTATGGTGACCTATAAATTCACTTATTTGTTGAGGAACAGATTTTCCTCAGTTTTATCACATGATTTTCAGTCTAAAAAAAGACAGCGAGTAGGTCAAGGACACTTACAGGATTATTTGTATGATAATCTCGATTTCTTCGCTAAAATATTTCTGTATTCTTTAAAGGTATTTCTTCTAATTTCCAACTCACATAGGTTTAATTATTACTTTATGTTCAAGGTGAATTTTCTGAAAATGTGTAATCGTACTGTTTTGAGTATATCAAAGGATTGTAATCTATTCCATTACTCCATAATAATAAATTTATTCAAACATTGAAGTTATCGGTATAACTCAGTACAGGCTTTTTAACATGATGTCACAATATAATACTTTGAAAGCTTTGGTAATCTAGATCATGGTAGTCTTGAGAAGTTAATTTCACTTGTGTTGTTAAGGCA